GAATTCTAGAATCTCAGAATTTCAGAATTTTAGAATCTCAGAATTTCAGACTCTTAGAACCTTAGAATCTCAGAATCTTAGAATCTCAGAATCTCAGAATCTCAGAATCTCAGAATCTCAGAATCTCAGAATCTCAGAATCTCAGAATCTCAGAATCTCAGAATCTCAGAATCTCAGAATCTCAGAATCTCAGAATCTCAGAATCTCAGAATCTCAGAATCTCAGAATCTCAGAATCTCAGAATCTCAGAATCTCAGAATCTCAGAATCTCAGAATCTCAGAATCTCAGAATCTCAGAGTCTCAGAATTTTAGAATCTCAGAATTTCAGAATTTTAGAATCTCAGAATTTCAGACTCTTAGAACCTTAGAATCTCAGAATCTCAGAATCTTAGAATCTTAGAATCTTAAAATCTCAGAATCTTAAAATCTCAGAATCTTAGAATCTCAGAATCTCAGAGTCTCAGAATTTTAGAATCTCAGAATTTCAGAATTTTAGAATCTCAGAATTTCAGAATTTTAGAATCTCAGAATTTCAGACTCTTAGAACCTTAGAATCTCAGAATCTTAGAATCTCAGACTCTCAGACTCTCAGAATCTCAGAATCTCAGAATCTCAGAATCTCAGAATCTCAGAATCTCAGAATCTCAGAATCTCAGAATCTCAGAGTCTCAGAATTTTAGAATCTCAGAATTTCAGAATTTTAGAATCTCAGAATTTCAGACTCTTAGAACCTTAGAATCTCAGAATCTTAGAATCTCAGAATCTCAGAATCTCAGAATCTCAGAATCTCAGAATCTCAGAATCTCAGAATCTCAGAATCTCAGAATCTCAGAATCTCAGAATCTCAGAATCTCAGAGTCTCAGAATCTCAGAATCTCAGAATCTCAGAATTTTAGAATCTCAGAATTTCAGACTCTTAGAACCTTAGAATCTCAGAATCTTAGAATCTCAGAATCTCAGAATCTCAGAATCTCAGAATCTCAGAATCTCAGAATCTCAGAATCTCAGAATCTCAGAATCTCAGAATCTCAGAATCTCAGAATCTCAAAATCTCAGAATCTCAGAATCTCAGAATCTCAGAATCTCAGAATCTCAGAATCTCAGAATCTCAGAATCTCAGAATCTCAGAATCTCAGAATCTCAGAATCTCAGAGTCTCAGAATCTTAGAATCTCAGAATCTCAGAATCTTAGAATCTCAGAATCTCAGAATCTTAGAATCTCAGAATCTCAGAATCTCAGAATCTCAGAATCTCAGAATCTCAGAATCTCAGAATCTCAGAATCTCAGAATCTCAGAATCTCAGAATCTCAGAATCTCAGAATCTCAGAATCTCAGAATCTCAGAATCTCAGAATCTCAGAATCTCAGAATCTCAGAATCTCAGAATCTCAGAATCTCAGAATCTCAGAATCTCAGAATCTCAGAATCTCAGAATCTCAGAATCTCAGAATCTCAGAATCTCAGAATCTCAGAATCTCAGAATCTTAAAATCTCAGAATTTCAGAATCTTAGAATCTCAGAATCTCAGAATCTTAGAATCTCAGAATCTCAGAATCTCAGAATCTCAGGAACTTAGAATCTCAGAATCTCAGAATCTCAGAATCTCAGAATATCAAAATCTCAGAATCTCAGAATCTCAGAATCTCAGAATCTCAGAATCTCAGAGTCTCAGAATTTTAGAATCTCAGAATTTCAGAATTTTAGAATCTCAGAATTTCAGACTCTTAGAACCTTAGAATCTCAGAATCTTAGAATCTCAGAATCTCAGAATCTCAGAATCTCAGAATCTCAGAATCTCAGAATCTCAGAATCTCAGAATCTCAGAATCTCAGAATCTCAGAATCTCAGAATCTCAGAATCTCAGAGTCTCAGAATTTTAGAATCTCAGAATTTCAGAATTTTAGAATCTCAGAATTTCAGACTCTTAGAACCTTAGAATCTCAGAATCTTAGAATTCCATAACTTCGGAATTTCAAAATATCAAAATCTAAAAACTTTCGTCGAATAGTCAAAACTCCAGAAACTTATAAAAGTACTCCCTTTGATGGATTCTTCCTTGTGACCACTTTTAGATTGCTGGATTTTTTCATCTTACTAAATCGTTACCCACGTGTCCCTTATCCTAATTTTGACATTTTTCACAACTTGCACCAGTTCAAAACAGATCCGCAGAGACAGCAATTCACAAAAACACTACCATTCACGCTAAAATGGCTGATGTTGCTGTTGGTCTACCAATCCTCTCAAGAAGATCAAGATCCGCTAAGATAACGGCAGTGGCTCCAAAATCCGGAAAGTCAACCAAGTCGGCGAAGGTAAAAAAACGGATCAACAATTTCAAATATAACTTTTCAAATTGTCCAGAGCACCAACATTCCGAGAGTTCAGAAATCCAAAGTTCCGAAGCACCCTACTTATTCCGTCATGGTTTACACAGCCATCAAGGACTTGCACGATAGAAACGGAGCATCGAATTTTATGATTAATAGATATATTGCCTCCAGATATTTTTGTGATGGCAAAGCCGCCCGTACAAGAACTCTAGCTGCTCTGAAGAAAGGACTTGCCGATGGATCTCTGATTTTAGTTACTGGAGTTGGTGCTCGTGGAATGTTCAAGGTGGCTAATGAATCTTCGAAATCTCATCGTGTTCCCAGAGTCGCTGCTTCAAAAACTGCTCCAAAGAAAGCGGTAATTCAACTGACAATCCCCAAATAAGTTTGAAATTTTTTCAGTCCAAATCCACCTCGAAATCTTCCAAATCTTCCAAACGTGCTTCAAAATCCGCCAGAAAATCCACCAAAAGCACCAAATCTGCTACCCAGTCAACTTCCTCAAAATCGGTCAAAAAGTCAACCAAAGCCAAGAGCAAGAAGACTCCAACCAAGAGAACTGTCAAACCGAAGAAGGCCTGAATGAGCTCAAAATCCTTCTTTCTCTTCTCATCAAGCACAATAAACTCGTCAAGCACACACATTTTTTAAAAAATGTATTATGATTTTAATGAAAAGTTTATGAAATTAAAATGTTTTTGTTGGTTTCTATGGAAAGATAATACTGTAAAAACTGTAATAGAAGGGCCCTTTCACTTTTGAATTTATCCTATCTACCTCGGTTCTCGATAAAGATATGAAAAAGTTGTCCACTGATAAAATGTTAAAAATATTATGAAAAACAATTTATCAGTTGACACATTCTTGATACCTTGTCTAGCAGCCAAGAAAAATGAGCTCAAACATAGCAGTGTGGGGCCCTTCTATTACAGGTTTTACGTTATGTTATGAATGAATAGAAAATGGAAAAATGGAGCTTTAGAGATTCTGAAATGGATTACGAAATTCTTGATTCCAGAAAACCGGAAATTTCCTAGATCAATGAAATATCCCAAAACGGAAACTCTTTTTCACATTAATAAACAAAAAACATGTTAACCCAACTTTGTAATTGAGCTATTTATATTTTTTGAAATTTTTTTCATAAATTCATACATTACAAAGTTGTATTTCCAGATTTCTGTTTCAGACGAATCCTTAGAATAATTCCCCGAAGACTGAAATTTCAAGATATCAAAGTCTAAGTCTCAATCTGATTCATAGTCACAAGATCTCTTCCACCTACCCTCCAAAATTTGTCTGGAAACGAAATTTTGCTCGCTTTAGATTTTGGGATGTCTCCTGGAATTGACGAACTTTGAAGAGTTTTCAGAAACAAAAAAATTCAAAAAAATTTCGGAAAGTTTTCAGAAAAAAAGCTTTATTGACGGAAAAAAGAGAAAAAGTTAGTAGAGAATAGGAAAAATAGTGAAAGACATGAAATGAAAATTGCGGAAATTGAAAAAAAAAATTGGGAACGGATGTGATGGATGGGGAAGGGAAACGGATATTTGGAAAATAAAATATATAGAAAACAAAAATACAAAAACAAATTATACATTATCTCAAACCATTTTGCGAATTTCCAATTGTGCTATACTCGTCGGTGTTGGTCCGCTGATATGAAACGCTTTCGCGCCATTCTCGTAGAAAACGCCTCCATTTGGGTATAGATGTTCTAATTCGCCAAATATTAATTCAGTTGTCTCTTTGTCCATTTGTTCAATTGTCAAATAACGAGCAGGAACTGTCCAATCGGGAAGCTAAAATGATAATTGGAATTACCGTAAACATCAAAATACAGGAGGTTACCGTATTTCCTCTGATAGAAGCCCATGGGCTTCTTTTATCAATTTTTATTTTCAAAATTTTTTAATTAAAAATTCAAAAATTTGACCATTATGAAGTTAAGAATTCTGAGATTCAGTGTTTTGGAAAATTCGAAATGTTTGTTCTGCAATTTAAATACCGAAATTCCTAATTTATGAAATTCTGAGATACCAGAACCTCAAAATTCAAAATTCAAGAATTTAGAAACTCCGGAAAAAAAATTCTAAAAATCTGAAATTCTTAAATTTAGAAATTAGAAAATTTAGAAATTTAGAAATTGTCGAGTTCTAAAATTACAGTTCCAAAATTTCTGGAATTTTGAATTATCCTATTTTCTCTAATAAACGCGCATGGGCTTCTATTAGAGGGTGGGCTTCTATTAGAGGAATGACAGTAACCAAGATGATTGTCCTTTCAGCTCAATTATCTCAATTTCTATAAAAGATAACAAAAATCTGTCAACTGTTGAAATGCTTGCCATAATATCGCCAAAATTTTATCAGTGGGGACATTTTTGATATCTCTATTGAAAGTTGAGATATGTGAGTTCAATGCGCAAGGCCTTATTTGAATGCTTACCGAGAAGAATCGAAGAATCGCTGCCCGTTTATTAGTAGAGGTTTCGGAATCGTCCAATTGTCTGAACATAATTGCGGTTTTATCTTGAGAAGCAATTGTGAAGAAATCCTCAATAAATCTCGGAGTGATTTCAGCGCTCGAACTCAAACTGAAAGAAAAACATTATCACAAAACTTTATGTTTCAAAACCAGAGAGCGCCCCGCACTGTTAATTTTAAACCAATTTAGTTCATTCCCTGTAACAGATGTCCAAAATTGATTAACTATCAAAATGTTGTTGATATTATGATAAACAATTTATCAGTTGACAACATTTCCATATCTTTTACAGGAACCGAGACAAATTGACTCAAAGTTGAAAACTAAGGGACCCTTCTATTTTATGGTACATCGAATTTGAAAAATTACCTCATACAGATTCCACTTTTAATATCAATCTTCTTCAGCCACTTCACACATTCTAGCAATGAATTTTCCTTCAAATTTTTAATGTGCATGCTGCAAAGTTTTTCAATACATTCTAATCTACTTGAATACCCATGCTTACCTCACTGCTCCTAATTCTAGACAAAATGGAAACAACTGGAAAACAGATTTCAGAAACTCCTCATTCATTTCCGATATATCAATCTGAAAGAAAATGGAGTTTTCAAAAAAAAATTCAAAAAAAAAAAAACTTAAAACCTACAGATAGGATTTCTTTACAAAACGTTTTTGCAACAGGAAGAACAGAATCTTTCAGAATTTCAGAAGATGTAGCCAGTTGAAGAAATTTAGGTGAAAGCCATCTAGTTTGTCTACTTCCCTTGATTTGAATCTAATAAAATAATATTCAAGTGGTTTCAATCTTACAAAGATACTCACAAACTTCAGCTCTGCGAAAAAATCTTCTGCTCTTCTGCTAGCTATTCTGTCGTCTGTTATGATGATTGCGTCAATTATCCATTTTCTGAAAAATCAACGTTCTACAGTAATCTTTGATAATCTTCAAACCTCATCTCATCATATGGAACTTTATCTGAAATTTCTTTTAAAACTGGATTCTCTATTCTCATCTGCCAAAGTTTTTCAATTGGAGTAAACTTGAGAACAGTTTCAATTGAAAGTAGAGTCATTTGTTGTTGTTCCATTTTTTCAGCTGGAAAAGAAGAAGTAATAGACTACTATACAAAGTGGGAAAGAAACAACTGCAAAAAGAAGGGCAACAAATTTCGGATGGCAGGGAAAAAGGGGGAGACTAGGAGACGAAATAGCGAAAAGCTATGAAGAGAAAAAGAAGGAAAATAAAAATACACATGTGTTGTGTTAAAATATGCAAGTGAGAATAGAGAGAGAGAGATGAGAGAAACAATGTCAACAAGAAATCGGAGAGAAGCAAAAAAGAGAAAATGATTTTTGGAATAGAAAAAACTGGAATTTATAAATGCTTTCATATCGTATTGTGAATATTGGAAATCTGGAGGACAAAGATTTTATGCTGCGTCAAAAGTTTCCAAATCTGGGAGTTCTGGGCCCAGAAAGCAGTCCAAAGAGACACTCAGATTCTCAAGGTTTCCAATTGAGCACAGTGGAAACCAGGGCGACAATGGAACTTCTTATGACATCAAAGCTGAAAAGCATGCAGGTTCACATAAAAATAAAGAAAATATTCAAAAAAATGCCTTCATCGAAAAAAAACGCCGGGACATCCTGCTAAATTCAAGTTGTAATTTTGTAGTTGAAGACGTTTTTGTACGAATTCAAAAAAAATCAAAATTTATAAAAAACACCGTCTAAAAGCAGGCCACCCGAACCGCCAACTTTGATTTTTTATATCTCAGTTCCTGTAAAAGATATCAAAAAGTAATCAACTGGCAAAATATTTTTAATGTTATGATGCACATTTTGTCAGTTGACCCCTTTTTGGTAGCTTTTACCGAAAGTGAGATGTATGGGATCGAAATTGAGAGATTGGGGAAGTGCGTTCTTTTCACGGTAGCTACTAAAAGAATTTCGGCAGTTTCGGTGTTTTTAAAGCTAAAAATTACATCGCAGTTTAGAAATATTGATAAAATTTCTCATCTTTGTATAATTTTCAAATTTTCTGAAACTTCTGATTACTGTAAGTTTGAATTTTTGATTTTTTAAAGTATAAGAAACCGTTAGAATCCTTTAAATTTCAAACCTCAACCGAAATTATTAGAATTTTTCTATTTTAAAAATCTTACGAATAAGAAGGATTCCATATTTTCAGAACATTTTTCTCATTTGTACAAAAAGTCACGTTTGTTCTGAACTCCGAATGATTTTCTAGAAACTCTGTGTGAATGGACAAGATTTTTTTCAGGTTCTGAAAAACCAGAAAAGAAATGAAGAACCTGTAGATGCCGTTCGTATATGAATGAAGATTTTGAAAAAAGTTTCATAAATTATGTGCTTGTTGAAACCAAAAAACATTAAGAGAAAGAATAATTATGATGATTAGTAAAAATAAATTATGATTAAATCGGGAAATTAGTTTTCAATATCCTACAAATTTGAAATCGGCTTTTCTCTTCCGGGGTGGTTCTTGAAATCCTGCGTTCTCCTTCTGCATCTGTGCCTCCTGGATTCTTTAAAGTCGAGCCATCTTGAAGACGTTGAGATTCTCCATTCGTTTCTCCTCTCCTACTTGTTTCATCTGTTGAATTTTCAGAATCTTTCGACGGCGATCCTCTTCGTAGCGGTTCATCTGGATTGAATTTCCGTTGATGGGTTTCATTGGTATTCTGGAGTTCGATCGGACGGCTATGGCGATAGGTGCACGTTGCTTTGGAGCAGTTAATGTCGGTGACGTTTTCTTCCTTCCAAATTCAATTCCTTCATTTTCGGTAAATGGTCTTTTCCTGGTTGGTCCGGCTGGAGATGCTTTTTCCATTTTCTTCAATAGACGATCGGCTTTCGTCTTCAGATCAATGTTGTGGAGATATGGTTCAACAAGATCCTTGATATTGAAGTAACTGCAGACATCTTGAGAAATATCCATCTCCAGAAGCTCCTCAAAAGTTAAATTGAGTTTCCGAGCAGCACGAAGGCGAGAGACTAACTTGAAAACCCTCTGGAGAACGGCAGTGTTTGGAGTAGCCATAGTAGCAAAGAGCGAGAATAGAAGAGTGACTTCTGTGAGGACCCAGTAGATCTTGAGCCTTATATATCTTTTTATTGTCATCATTTTTCAAGTCATCCTTAATGGACCCTAATAATTATTGCTTTATTACCCAAGGAGCAAAATAATGTGTCTGGAACATGATGACAAAATATATAATATTGCAAATGATAACAATATCTGAATTAGATGACAAATTCATCAGACATCTGAGAAAAGTTGATAAAAATCTGTTTTCCAAAATTTTAAGCTCCCCGCTCGTGTCCTAATTAAAAAGAAGTGCATGCATTCTGACTGAACAGTGTACAGTCGAATTTTAAAAGCTGATATTCCGAGTGAGCCAGTTTTCTGCCTTTTTTTGAGGGTTTTTGCCAGTTAACCCCATTTGATCACTTGGCAAGATAAGAAATCCCCATAAATATCGAGAGCTTGGCTTGTATCCACGATTCCATAATCGATTTCGAAACTAAGAAGTCAAAAGAAGCTTCGAGAATTTCAACCGAAGCAATGCAAAGTGTAGAAGAAGAGGCGCCGAGAGCTCAAGCTGGAATGGTTCTTGGAATAAAGAAGGGAAAGAAAGGGACGGCTACAACGGAAGCGCCACCACCAGCCAAGAAAAAAGGAGCTGACGGATCCAGAAGAATCAAGAAGGAGAAGAAGAAGGTGGAAGAGGCAGATCCGACGAACAAGACCAATATGACTCCAGCACCTCCGCAAGCTCATCCGATCGTTCAGGAGTGGGTACTTCGTGCGTTGGATTTTGGAGTGGAGAAGCTTCGAGAGGAATTTCGGGGTCTCGCAAAATACGTTCGCAGTGATATGACCCAAAACGTCTTCAATTCTAACCATTCTACCGATATCAACATCACCAAAAATCGGTTCGTTTCTCTTTTTAAGATTTAAAGATTTAGTTTCAAGCACTCGGATTTCAGCTACCAAGATGTTCCATGCCAAGATCAATGCATTGTCAAATTGGAGCCCCCATCTCCAAGTACTTACATCCATGCCAACTACGTCGGATGTCCAATGTATCCCGAGAAACGATTCATCTGTTGTCAAGGTCCATAGGATCACACTTGCGAGGACTTTTGGTGGATGGTCATTCAGAATAAGGTGGAGCAGATCGTGATGCTTTGCAAGACAGTGGAGACTGGAAAACTGAAATGTGCTCAGTATTGGCCGGGTGCTCAGGGAGAGAAGAAAGAATTCAAATCGGGTGTTGTTGTGGAGAACATGTCGGGAACAAAAACTGGAACTATTGTGGCAATCGAGTATATTCTTGGTTAATTTTTTACCTCGATTTCAGCCTAAATAACTTTTCATTTTGCAGAAAAAATCGCCGAGAATAAACAGTGCCCTCCGATGCCGGATCTTGTCAAACAACTCCGCGATCAGCGTGCCTACTCGATTCAAAACGATCTTCAGTACTTGTACATTCATCGCGTGATGCTCAACTACTTTTTGGATAAGTACAAGGAGAAGTATGCGTCTCTTCTGACGAGAACGTTGCAAAGTACGAGAAGTTTGTCAAGGACTACAACACAGCAGTTGGACAGTGATCTATTTTTTTCTTTTACCTCCTGAATGAATTTTTCTCTTGAATTTCGCTTTTGAAGTTTGTTCTAAAAATAAGAATTTCACAAGTTTATGGAAATTTAGAGGGTTAGAGGTAGAAGTTAAAGACGAATAGAATATATGAACAATTAGACATCATTCTTGTGGAGCGTTTTCTCCGGTGCATTGAGCGATCGCTTCGAAAAGATGACCAGCGTTGCGAAGTGCTTCGAGTTCTGTGAAACCACCGACGAATCGACCGCAGATGAAAATCTAAAAAATACCATGTTTCATGTAAAACTTCTAATTAACAAAAACCTGAGGCACACTTGTCTGTCGCGTAGTATAGACGAGTCCATTCACAATTCCAAGGTAATCTTGTGGTTGAGCCTCTTTCAAACTGTCCAGATTCACCTCTTTATACGCAACTCTCACATCGGCAAACAGATCCTTGGCTTTGTTGCAGAATGTACAAGAGTTTTTCGTGTACATTACCACTGGATCTTTTTTCACCTACAAATTATTTTGAAAGAGATTTTCTGCGTTTTTATCTCACCTGTTCTTGAACAACGTCGACGTTTACTTTTGAGGTGACTCCTCCCATTTTATCTGAAATATTCGATTCGTTTCATGATCCAATTTTGAATCAGAGATAGTTGGATTCAATTCAACCAACAAATATATGAGAACATAATGCATTCAAAAATATAAATAGTTTACTGAGTTCCGAAAAGATGATAAAAGATGAACAGAAAGAGAGATCAAAGAATTAGGAAAGATTGACATGCTTCAAAAGAATATTCAATTGTTCTTTGAGACTGTTAGCATTGTCCACATAGAATGATTCGTTGTTTAGACGATCCTCGATTTCCTGAAATTTGATATGAACTAAATACTTCATCCGTAACCACTGCGCTTACCTTTACGGTTTCTGGATTAGCGTCTGGAGCACTGATCGCAAACAAAACAGGATTCCTCGGATAGTCGCAAGGGATTGATAAGAATGCGGTGAGGCTGAAATAGGTGGTTTTCTTTATGAATAGAAAGAGAAAAAAACCAACTGTTTGTTTTCACTATCCACAATTTCAATTTTGTATGAGAAACGATCTGATGCAGAAGATTTCGCGATTTCTTCTGACAGAGACGCCGGTATCAAAGCAATAAAAGCCTCGTCCTCACAATTTTTAAATGAACTGATTTTGACATCTTCTCCACAATCCAATTCTTCTGTGTTCTTTGCTTCCAAATTACGAATAATTCCATCTAACACACAGCGATCAGAGACCCTCTGTCTGATCGATTTGATAATCTTCCGGAGATGCTCCGTTACAGAGACTCCTTCCGCTTCTCCAGTGCCACTCAACTCCTGAATAAACTTGTATGGTTTTCCAATCGTTTTCGCATTTGAGTTGAAATTTAGTCTGTAAGAATGAAATTACTAATGACCAATAGAAAAAACACTACATACTTGAGATGCTCGCTTTTCAAGTCACCAACTTTACTGGGACATTTATCTCCGGAATCGTCTTCGAATAAATCAGACATCAAAGAATCAGCGTTGAATAAGATCGACTTCTTTGCCTTGGAATCTTGATGAATGCTCCATTTAGCTGTTGTAAGCTTCAATTCAGTCAGGTATTGAATCGACATCGTGATCTTCAAATCATTGGAACACTCAATATCCAGGTTGAGACTCATCGGATGCACATCCAGAATCTTCGAAGCCATTTCATTGATTTTCTCTTGTATTGTTTCGTCCTCTTTTCGTCTTCTTTTCGTTTCTCCATCTTCTTTCGTTGGCTTCGTTGTCTCATTGTTACCAGTGATACTGAATTCAAACATCTTATCATCGTGAATCTCTTTGTAAGCTGTCGCATGGATATGAGCAACTGCAAGTGGAGCTGGAAGACTTAACGACATCTTCCGCTGCTCCGCGTCTATGGTAAGGTCTTTGAACTTTGCCCCAACTGTGTCGAACACTGGTTCGACCATTTTGGCAAGATCGTCAAGTTTTGGTTTCAGTCCTTGAATACGAACTTCTTTTCCTCGAATATCACTTTGCAGAACGTTACGACGCCCTTCTAATTCATTGAGAGTAGACAATAAACTGAAAATGAAAGAATTAACCATCAAAACTCCTAACTGATATCACTAACTCTCTTCTTTGATTATCCTCATACTTCAATCTTGCTAAATACTGCTCATGCTCATTGCCCATCGTTTCTTCAGCTTTGGAAATAGTTTCAGGGGCCTCTGCGTAGAATTCTTCAACTGGAATCAGCTCAAGTTCCTCGTCACCGGCGCTGAAGTCTAGACAACGATCTATCTCTTTTTGAATGTGTTGAACTTCGCTAGTGACATTTTGAAGTTGTAAAAGCTTCGCGTCGACGAGATCCATTCGTTCTGCAACTTCTTTTCTCATTTGAGCGGTCGCGTAATGGCATAGTCGGGTGTTTCGACGCAACCGAGCAATCCTGGCGATTGCCGCAATGGTTGTTGGCTGAAAAATGTATATTGAGCGTTTCAGTAATAGATTTCACAAACTTTTCCATCCATATAGTCCTCTAATGCCGTCTTTAGGAATGTGTAGTCTTCATTGAACTCATCGAATAACTTATCATGTGTGAGTTCCATCGAGATTTTGTCTTCAAGAGCAAAAAGTTTCTGAAAAGAGAGTGGTTCTCAAGCATTTGAATGTTATTTACCTCGGGTGCATCCATTTTTGATATTCCCTCTAAGAGTTGGACCGATTTCTCCGTCATTTTCACTTCTGGCTCTTTCTTCTTCGGTTCATCGGTTGTTCGTTTTACCAGGCGAACGTTCACCGACATTTTTTGGCAGACCGCTGAACGAAATTAATGAATTGTTGAAGGAAAACAATAAGTTATTCGGAATAACAGCTGCAATTATAACTTCAAAAAGTAGTCCGCGAAGACTCCACGGAGGCTGGCCGAACTTCCCCCGATAACTTGACCGCGCGCGAGAAGCAGTTTTTCAAAATGAATATTAAATCCTAAATTTAGGACAATTTTGCAACTGACAACCTGAATTAGGAAAAGAAACGAACTGAAGCGGTTAAATATTTATTGTATCGATTTATTAGTGATACGAGGACAAATGGGCTTCAAGTATACTATGAGAGCGGGGGTGTTTTTACTACCGGCTGGTATTTACAGCAAAAAATGGTTGCAGGCCTAGATGAACATGGAACAAAGGCTGCAATAACAAAGGAAGCTCGTAGAATAAAATGTAACAGCAAGAGGTGAGATTTAGGCGGTAGTTTTCTTGGTAGTAGTCTTCTTGGCTGCTGGAGCCTTACTGGTCTTTTTAGCGGCTGGAGATTTGGCGCTCTTCTTGGCAACTGGCTTGGCAGCGACTGGCGACTTTGGTTTCTTCTCGCTGGATGGAGTAACAGCGGCAGCCTGAATTTACATTGTGTTTATGTGATTCAATACTTTTGAGCTCATACTGGTTTCTTGGTTGACTTTGGAGTTGATGGTTCAGCTGAAGATTTGCCTGCCTTCGTGCCGGCTTTCTGCAGCTTGAATCTTCCGTTGGCACCATTTCCAGTAACTTGGAGAATAGTTCCAGCAGCGATCCCCTTCTTGAGAGCGATAGCAAGGCGACTGCGGACACTCTTTTCAGTGTTGGCCATGTTGATGAGATTGTGGTTCTTCGAGATGGTCTTGAGGATAGCCTGGTGAGAAGCACCCTTTTTCTCATTCAGTTCAGTGATAGCGGTCGTGACCATTTCCAGATATGCCGGATGATCAGCGACAACTTTCACCTTCTTCACTTTTGGGATCTTGTTGGCAGCAGCAGTCTGTAAATAACAATTTAAAAAACACAATTTCATGTATAAGCAGCTCACCTTGGCAGCTTTTGCCGTCTTTCCAGCTCTTGCGGCTGGCGACTTTGGTGACTTTGGCGATTTTGGAGTATTCGCATTCTTCGTCTTTCTAGGGCCTCCTCTGACAGCTTTCGGAGCAACAGCAACTGGAGCTTCGGCAATGGCAACGTCCGACATCCTTTTCGAGTGATTTGAAATGAGGAAATGAACTGAAACAGTTTTGGCGCCGCTTACATATTACTTTCCACCACCCTGTCGGGACACCTCTAAAGCGAAAGGTCCCGCGCCGAATATGCTTGTCGCCATACTGTGATTGAACATGCGAATTGGATTTGAATTTGAGACTATCTCTACATTTGCAACACATTTCTATTGATAAACAGCTTGTATCCAAAAAGCTTTATTTCCAGATAGAAAATTTACAAATATGAGAAATTCGGGAAACGCAGACAGAACAGATGAGTAAAGTCAGAAGAAAAATGAATGAGATGAGGGGAGGAAACAGGAAAAATTTTTTCTACAGGTTGACTAGAGCTGCAAAGTATATCTTTACTTTGAATCTTGTTCATAATCGTTCAATTCCGCGGTTTTGGATTTTTTTGGCGATATTTTGTTTATCACATTCTACAGCGGTTTCTAGAGAGGGGTCTGGACGAGAATAAGAAAAATAGAAGCGATAGAAAAAGAAAGATTACGGGGAATGTTGATTCAAAATATTCAAATTATTGCGATGAGACGTCTTCCATTTTCTCAGCGTTTCCAGAACTATCCGTCTCTTGATTCATACTTCCGTACCCACCGTCAATGCTCGCCTGAATCAATGCTCTATTTTCAACGACTATCATCATTATCTTTCGACACACTTACCTTGATGAAGCTGTTAGCAGTTTTCTCTTGATGACTTGACGAGTATCCTTGCTGTTGTTGTTCAGCTGGCGGAAGAACAAATTGCTCAATTGGTGGGAACGGTTGAGATTGAACCGGGTCAACTATAACCTCGACTTCGGGGGAACCATTTGTGGTTGGTACGAAGTATATGGTTGTGGTGTGTATAAAGTGTATGAAGCAGATTGCGGTCTTCTTTGATGATAGTCATGCGACATGTAACGAATCGGACGAGTGTATTGAATTGGTGGAGGAGGCTGTTGAACGGGAACATATTCATAATAAGTTCCTCCAGGAGAGCACATTCCCGACTCTGCGTAGTTCAGAGATCCCATTGGCATCTCATCGTACATCTGGTGATATGCAGTGTAGTTGGATTCATGCGGCTGCTGGTGAACATGGGAATGCGCGTGATGGTGATGATGGTGGACCATAACAGATGGTGGGGTCTGACAGACCATTGGCTCACAGTACCCATGTCCATTTGCCATTCCACCGAAACTCTCGGCTTTCTGAAATACTAGGTTAATGTTAATGTTTGGAGGCTACAGTAGGATAAAGTGTACATAAAATTTAATTTTCAAACCAAAAAACATAAAAATTGCTAGGCTTGAGAGTAATTTTCTCAAAGTTTATGACATCCATTTGGGGAAAACATGGCATTTTGAAAATTTTTGTAATGTCAAAATGACATGCGCTTTCTCCACTTACCCGCATCATGGGATGTTTGGAAGTGCACAAATAGCTGTTGTTTGTGAAATCGAAAGATCTTTGTGGAGCCCATTGATGGCCATGATGGCCTCCAGAACTGACAGGAGATCCAATCATTTGTTGCTGTGGTTGACAGTTCAGTGAGTGTTGTCTCATCGGAAGTCCACGTGGACTGGGAGATTGCATGACTGGACTGCCGCCTACTTGTGCCACATCGAATGACTGAGCTCGGCGCATCATGAGCAAATCGTGATTGAGACTTGCTTGACTTCCATACTGACTGTTTTGTTCAAACGATTCCATATGATGCAAGTCTTTTCTGGAAGATCCTCCAGTGTTTTGTCGTCGTAATCGATCCTCCGAATAGTTGTTATGGCGAATGAAATCAGCGAAATTTTCTTCTGGTCTGAAAATCTTTCTAGATGAGCTGAACATTTCAAAAATTCAATTACATTTTAGTTCTCTCCGACTTATTGACAACGATTTCTGTCAATTTGTTAGTCACATTATGATCCAATCCGAACAACGCAGCGCATCTATGAAGGAGCATCCGATGATAGGATGATGGAAGTTCGAACTTCTTCGATTGAACACTCTCATCCATTACAAGATCCTTGAGTTCCTGCTCAAACTCTAAAATCTGTTTTCTATCCTCCTCACTCTTGTGAAGCGTGCGATCTACGAAACTGCGAAGATCCGTTCCACTCCTATCCGAGTATTCCGTTCCAGTTGATTCTCGGCTCAATGACTTTGAAGTTGCCCATAGTTTTTTCTGAGCATGACCCGGTGGAAGAAGTTTAGTTCCATCGTTATTGCTTTCAGTTTGTTTCTCATCTGAATCCTCTCTTCCCTCTTCTGGATGTTCTTCAATACATGGTACGGTAGTTTCTGGGCTCGGGGATGGACAATCAGAAAGTGATAGATGAGACATTGGCTGGAATAGAAAACCGATTTTGTTGGAAAGATTTCGAGTTTTTGGTTGGATTGAGCTGTTAGTTGTACCGTACCGTATACACTTTACTATAGAGCCACCAAGCCATAAATTTTGAGCTCGAATATCTCGGTTTCCGTAAGTGATATCAATATAACATGTTTGTAATATTATGATACACAATCAATCAGCCGATTACTTTTTGATATCTTTCACAGAAACCGAGATACATAGCCTCGAAGTTGACGGATTGGGCTTCCATTAAAGTGTTTACGGTATTCAAGTAACTTACAATCATGATGAGAGATTCTCAGAAGTAAAAGTTAGAAAAAAGAAAATATCCTAGAAGGTATACAAACTGAAGCAAGATATATAGACTCATTTTATCTTTTTCCCTTAAATCGGCTCAGCCTTCTGACTCATATACAAAAAGTGACGATATGATTTTCCAAGCGATTATTCATACCTCTTCAATCGTAGCATTCTGTTTTGATAGTCTTCTTCGCATCGATTCATTCCGTTTGAGTCCATCTGATCCCTCTGCTGGCATTGTCACATTCATCGTCATGATAACTGTAGTCGATCGTCGTCGTTGTGTGGAATCGTCGTTTGAAGAAGAGTTCTCCGGAGACACATTTTCCGTGGCAGACATTTTAATTGCCTGAAAATGATATTCATAGAAAGGATTAGAGACAAAAGAATGTAAAATGAGAAAAAATGGAGAGAAAGAAGAAAGGCTCATGAGAAAAGTACCGCCCACCCTTCAAAGGATATGCTCCGCCCACTTGAGCACATTTCGCAATCTGTGAGAAGAGGTAAAGAAAAGAAAGCAAAAAGAGTCTTGATATGTTTTGGTTGAGTATCCAACTACAGTAGGGCAATTATCGAAACATTTAAAATCACAAGACATGAAACTCAACAAAAAAGTATAAATTATAGATTCGAAAATGTTGGAAATATAAAAATTTCAAATTTCCCCCGCACTTTTCATAACGTCCCACCTTTTGAGCCTCGTCGAGGACTAATCAAAATCGTTTATGAGAAGGATTAAATAGAAGATTAGGAGCTTGTGGGAAAAATGATGTGCAGATTAATAGAGACATGTGTTCGAAAAAGGAAATTGAATGAAAGAAAAAATATCAAAAAGAGAGGGGAAGTCGGAAATTGAAAAGGATGCTTTAGGTATCCAGTTTTATCCAAAAAAGAGTTTTTTCCTGTCAGTTTGATTTATCGTCCCTGACTCTGAAAACTTTTTCAGACACTGATAGTTTTCTAAAAGCAGGTGGTACTCACTTGAGAATATTCATTGACGTACAAGTTCTGTTTTATCTTAAAATGACGTGATTGGGAGTGTATATAGATCATGGAATAATGTGGGCGGGTCTGGGAAAGTCTAAAGATAAACAACTGAAAAAGGATGAATCAAGATTTGAAAGAGTTTGGAACTTTTTTTTAGGAGATAAGAGGAAAAAGATTTGTTGAGCTTTTCAATGATATCTTGATTTGATCATTCTGAATTCATTGATGATTGAGGGTAGTTTTCTAGAAAGGAAGTTATTTTAAAAGAGAGCAGGTATTGAAATAGAAAATCTGAAACTTCAAAACCTCAATTTTAAAGAAAGAAGAAGACACCTCAAATTGCATTAACTCTTTTGGAATTTTAGGGAATTTCAGAACCGGAGATTTCTGATGATTTACAAAATTTCTGAACATCCGAACATCTGAACATCTCAAGTTCGCACTTTCTCAAATATTCGAATTTTCTGAAGTTCTGAGTAATTTAACTTTGATTTGAGAATTTTTACAATTTTAATTTTTTTTAAATTTCGCTGTAAAGTTGACATATTTGCTGAAAATCCGGAATCGTTTTCTCGGAATCTTTGGAAAAAAAAATAATCAAAATCGCTGAATCCGGAATCCGGACATCTCTGATCTTTACCGAATCGGACCCACATGAAAGGATTTCGTAAACGAAACGTTTTCTTCTAAGTTTCCAGGTTGGTGAACCCGATGAGTCAGAGTTCTATATATTTTCTTTGCGGGGACCCTCCTCAAAAATGTTTCCTCAAATGTTCATAAATCAAAAGTGATCCACGGCCAATTTTGATCCCACTCGGAGTGGCAACCCATCTCTGCGTCTCTTCAACTCCAATACTAACTCATTTTTGGGTTTTTATGTTCTCAATGCGTTCTTTTCATCCTTTCTTTTTTTCTTCTTTTTTATGCACCTCTTCCTTCTTCTTTTTTTTTGTTCCAAACAACTAAACAACTACATAAAGTGGAGCAAAATGGGAGAGAGAGAGAAAGAGCTAGTATTCAATCTGACACCATAGAAACAAATCCAAAACAGAAATCTTTTTACTTTTTCAGAGTAAAAAAGGGGTTCAAGTTCATAGGTGGGATTGGGAAAAAGAAAAAAGAAGAAGTAATCAAAAAAAAAAAAGGAAAAAAAGGATTAAGAAAAGAAGAAAAAATGAGATGGGAAAAGAATCTGAACTTTCTCGCAAATCCGCCGTTCCCACACCATTTTCAGACTTTTCAGATCAAGAAACCATCGAAGATAAGTTAGTTTGAGCTTGAGAAGTTTTGCAGGAGGATGGAATGAATGATGCTAGAATATTTAAGATTGAGAGATGAGGAGAATGAATTAAAGATTTGTTTCACGAAATGTATATTCATCATTTTTGAAGGAAGTCAGGAATAGTTTCGAAGAAGCGTAGAGCAAAAAAATGGAGTGAAATTGGACATCGGGGTTAGAGGCGCAGACAACGAGACACTCTAACTGTCTGCGTCTACCCCAAACTTCAAATATCCTCAGGGAATTTTTCGGCAAGTTGCTAACCCGAAAATTTTGCTTGCCGCTGACAAACGGCAAGCCGTTTTTTTGGGTCAGCAACTTGCTATTTTATAGAGCAAGTTGCCGTTTGAATGCCATCTGAACGCAGCAAGAGAACGGCAACTGCTTTTTTCGCGGCAAGCAAGTTTCATGCATGCGGCAACTTGCTGATGTACGACCCTCCTCGAACATGGTCAGCAAGCCCTAGCAACTTGCTAATTTGTCCAGCAACTTGCTGATTCTGCTCAGCAACTTGCCAAATGGCTCGCAACTTGCCGTTTGCTTGCCCAAAATTCCCTGAGTCTGTATTTCGACGGACACTGATCCAATGTGACTGTTGTTCGTGAAACTACCCACCGAACCCAATGATATAAGATTTTCCATATTTTTGCAAAAATTCTAGCTTTTCTAGGTACGATACAGCCGTTTGAGCTTTAGAAGGCTAGAGACGCAGACGACGAGACACACTGCGTCTCTAAATTTAAAAAAAACTTCAAAGGTCCGTATCTCGGCTTCCAGGAGTGCTAAAACAAGGTTATTTTTGGTTTTTGCGCATTTTTGAATTTATGCTTTGTTTTCCTTGAGTCCATGGAACGTCTTCTCTCCGTAATTATTACGTGTTTCAAGAAATTCATCAGCCTATAAAATTGGAATCTAAAAATCTCAAATGGTGTCAAAAATGTCCAGCACTTTTGGCTCATATATCTCCTTTTCTGTGAAAGATATAAAAAAGTAATCAACTGACAAAATGTTTATGATGTTATGATAAACAATTTATCAGTTGACTACTTTCTGATATCTTCAAAAGGAACCAAGATACATTTGCTCACAGTTAAAACGTAAGGGGTACTTCTATTACAGGTTTTACGGTATTTTAAAACATTTGATTCGAACTCGATTTTCAGCCTTTACTTGATCACAGCAGTCTTGCACTGAAAGTACAATGGAAATTCTGAATTTTCTAATTATACCGTAATTATTTCAAACTTTATGAAATTCTCGGAAACTTTCTCACTCCCAAAATTTGGTTCAAAAAACATTTTCAAGTTAATTTATAGGTTCTCAAAAGTTCTTTGATATTTTTTTAATATTTTGAAATTATTGAAGAAACCAAATAAAAGGAAATTTTTTCAAAACTCGATGTGTACTAAAAGTGTGTTTTGAGATTTCTTCAAATTTTTGAAGCAAGTTTTAAATTCTGCCAAAGACAGGTGAAATTGAATGGTGGAGCTCTTGGAGAAAATGCAAAATCTTTAAAAATTGTTCATGGAGAGAGAGAGAGAAAACTCTGCTAGTTTTTCTCGAGCCCCCACCACAGGTGCTTCTCTTCGAAGCCTGCCATCTGGTGTACTTGAATCTCTTCTTCAGAAATCAATTCAATTAGCTTCTCTTTTTTTCTGAGTGGGAGACGAAGTACAAAAAGCCACGTCATCCCTTTAGAACTACAGTAGTCCTCAAAATGTGCAATTTGAGAACCTGAACAACCCGACAATTTCCTGCCATCACTCTTCTTCCAAAAAAGGGTTAGACTCTAAAAAGAAGAACGCAAATAGAAATTAAGGGGGGGGGGGGATAATTGGGAATCAAACGATTCGTTTTTCTTCTTCCCCTTTTCCTTGATTTTCATTTAACGACTCCTCAGTTTTGACGACCGAAATGAAGAATAAAGTGAAGAGCACAAACCAATAGGATGTGTTTTATGTGGATTTGGTTTTGAAGAAGAAGAAGAGAAAAGAGAAATGAGTTCTTGAAAAAAAATTGGGATGAATATTGAAAGAGGAAGAGAAAAGGGAAAGGACGTCATCTGTAAGCGGGGAGAGGTTCAACTTTCGGCCCTCACTGTTTCAATCAGTTGTTTTTTTGGTTTATGACATAAAAATATACATGCGTGATCCTATTTAGTACGTCATCTTTTGTACTTATACGGTCGGCTAGATTTTGGAAAGTCGGCGAAGTTTGGTTTGGTAGAACCGAACTAGAATTTTCAGAATTCGGACATTCTTATTGAGTCAGAACCTCCCAACCTTCGAAGCCCAGAATTTCAAAATCACATAAAAATTGAACTGTTCAAAACCTTAGAATCAACTTACCGTAAACACTCTAATAGAACGGCACCCAAACCATTAACTTTGAGGTCATGTATCTCATTTCCTATAACCGATATCAAAAAGTGGTTAACTGACAAAATGTTTATCAGAATATCAGCAACATTTCATCAGTTTATTACTTTTTAATATCTTGCATAGGAATCGAGATAATGGAGAACAAAGTAAACGTACAGGATGGACTTCCATCAGAGAAAATACGGTAGACTTTAAAGTGGTTTTTTTTAATCAGAAACTTGTAATCTTTTGTAATATCGAATTTCCAAAATCTGGAAATTCCGGAATCTTCTAGATTGAGGATCCCAGATTCTAAATATTTGAATCTCTATAATTCAAATGTTCCGATTCTGATAACGAAAGAATAAAAGTATATCAGAATCTCAAAAAAAACTTTCAGTCAAAACTTTTCACATGCTTTCTTTTTTGCTTATCACAAAAAAGTCACCTCATTTGTCGAATTAAAAAACGTGAGAGTGTATTCTGAAAATTCAGAATGAAACCAGACAAAAAACCTTTTTTTGTTCAAAAAGTACTTGAATTCTTCGTAGGCTACTGATTTATAGATTCCCAGAAAAAAGTTTTTTTTTGGAAGTGGAAAAAAAGGCTACGTCTTCAAGAGGAAAATGGAGTTATGAAAAACGGAATATACTCATAATTTATGATTTTATTACCAAGTATAAGAGGGAGACATATAGGGCAAAAGAGCAAAGACTTATAGATGCTTTTATGAACTTGAAGGGGCTGGAAACAAGAAATAACGTGAACCTTTAATAGAAGAGCCCCCTGACTTCTTACTTTGAGCCAATTTATCTAAGTTCCTGTTAAAAACATAAAAAATTTTAACTGATAACTTGTTTTTCATAATATCACAAACATTTAATCATTTGACACATTTTTTATATCTTGTGTAGGAATTGAGATAATTGAGTCCGAACTTGACAGTGCGGGCGGGTTCTACCACTAAGTTAATTATGACAACCTCAAGTCTCGGGTACAGTAATCAGCTATGACTTTTGGACTACCTATAAAAGTGGTCAACTGATAAATTTTTTATCATAATATTACCAACCTTTTATCAGTTGACCACTTTTTGATATCTGTCATGGTAACCGAGATAATTGAGCTCAAGCTTGACAGTGTGGGAGCAATTCTATTACAGGTTTAACGGTACCTGCGCTTTGTGAACTGGATTTGATTTCAAAGTTCTCAGGTAATACAAACAAATCAGTTGTGTAGAAAATCAGATTCTAAAAAATATTCCTTCCTAAATCTAAAGTTCCAAGGTTCATCAAATCCTTATGACCTAGCCGGACGTCCTACGTATTTTGGTGTTCCGCCTGGATTAATTTTTGCACCAGTCATATGTTCTCAGATTACTAATTCCTTTGCAAAAGAGAGATCACTGACTCAGTTCCTGAACATTGGAAGACTAGAAGAAGGGCAGTGGCGCCAGCCAAATTCCAGAAAAAAACATTTCAAGAAATAAGAATTTCTAAGAGGATAAATATGAAATTCAGATGATCTCTGCTTATTTTTTGAGCCTGAGCTATGTGGGATGATAAGGCTTATTTACAGACCAAAAATGTTCAATGGTCGCAGATTTTTTCATCTACCGTATCTAGGATCAGCAGTCTCCGATAGCTTAATCGAGAAAAATTCAAAATCCATGGATTTGAAATCTGAAAATTTGTATCTTGAAATCAAAAAATTCTCCAGCATCCATCAACTTTAAATAAGATGAATAAAATACTGTAAACACTCTAATAACATTCCCTTAGCCAACTTTGAGTCAATATATCTTGTTTCCTGTAAAAGATATCAAAAGTGATCAACTGATAAAATGTTAAGCTTAATTTTAAAATATCATGTTGGTTGACCACTTTTTGTTATGTTTAGCAGGAACCGAGATAAGTTGGCTCAAAGTCTAAAGTTTCGGTGGCATTCTATTAGATTGTTTACGGTTTTACTAGGAAATTGTATCATTTTTAATATTACATTCAGTTAATTTTATAATTTGAGAATGTGAATCAGTTCTCAGCAGACCGTTTCAACTAGACTGATCTCCCATTTATAAATTATACATTTTTTGAAAAAAATCCAAAGATCTGAATTTGAACAAATGGATAAAGAATGAACAAAGCGGAAGTCTGATTTTTTTCGATAGACAAAAAAAAAGGATGACTAATAATTAAAAGTGATTATTCTTTGGAACTGATATAGGTAGTCCAAAAGTCATAGCTGATTACTGTACCCGAGATTTGAGGGGTTCATAATTAACTTAGTGGTAGAACCGGCTCACATTGTCAAGTTCGGACTCAATTATCTCAATTCCTACACAAGATATAAAAAATGTGTCAAATGATAAAATGTTTGTGATATTATGAAAAACAAGTTATCAGTTAAAATTTTTCACATGTTTTTGACAGGAAACTAGAAAAATTGGCTCAAAGTAAAAAGTCAGGGAGCCCTTCTATTACAGCTTTTATATCATTGAAAACTTGTATTCAAACTTTTTTCTCACTTGACATGTTATCTTAATGATTTCAAAACCAAACCTCTCAAAAATCAAAAGAACTCAAAAAATGACTCTAAAATGAAAAATTTTAATGTGCATTCAAGTGGAAGACGAAAAAGTTTTGAAATTCAGGTCTTGCCGGATAAAGGTATAAACAAAAAGACCCACATATTTATATGGGTTGATAGAAGGGGTGGACTCCAAAACTGAAGCCAAAATACAACTACAAATTGATATCACATTCGTATGTAGGCGTTTCTGGGGTGATTCTTTGCAGGTTTTCCAAAATAAAAAAGGAACTATATAACAGAAAAATGATAAGGAAGAGGAAGGGAGCTTTTGGCCCTACGGGAAAAGAAAAAAAAAAGAAAATGACAGACAAATGGTGAGATAGATCAGGGGTTTAATGGATATGTGATAAGAGAAAGAGAGTGAAAGATAGTAGGTAACTCTCAACAGACAACTGCCCCCTCGACTCTTCTCTTTCGGGGCACAGGAGGAAAAAAAAAAGAAGAAGCGACCGCCCAGGCACATACACACAAAACTCAGAGGATACTCTTCAAAACTTTTTTTAGTGCCTAGAGACATTGGAAAATGAAATTGAGGAGAAGAACGGATAGTTCGTGTGCTAAGAGGGGATATAATTTTTTTGTTTGATAGCAGAGTGCCCAAAAATCAGAAAATCATATTATCTCATACTTTGAAAGTGGAACTTTTGTTACTAATTCATCTTAATAATCTCAGGATCTTCAAATTCTTTACACTCATAAATTCAGAATTTAAGAATATTCGACGCTTAGAATCTCAGAATCTCGGATTTGAAAAAATTCGTTTTACGAATCTGAGTACTCTAATTTTTTTTAAACCGTGGCAGAAGGTCCCACAAGGGCAACTACAGTAACTTATTCTCTGAATTTTTCTCGAGTTTCGCACATTTTTTGTGAATTGTTTAGCTATCAAAGTTTTGATTTTCCGACTTGTTCGTGGAAAAAAAAGAAAAATCGTCTAAAATCCTTAAAAACAAGAAAATAATTACGAAAAAAAAAATTTTAGGTTACTGTAGTTGTCGCTGTGGGACCTTCGGTTTTTCTTTGTACCCGAATAACAGATAAAGCTTATGAAATTTAATTCCGAATTTGGAATCTAAAACACAAGAATTCCAGTGAATGAAATTTGAAAAAAAGAGTTTCAGAACAAGATTTTTGAAGATGTTCAGAAAAGCAAAGTTACTCCAAATCTTAAGAAATTTGATGTTTTTTAATATGAGCTCATCGTCATAGTTCCGTTATTCTAGAATCCTGAGAACCTCATGCTCCTTCTTGATTCAAAATTTTCAAAAACAAGACCTGGTTCATTTTGTAAATACCACGTAATCTCAAATTGTTAATGTCCCTTCTAGTAAGAGATTAGACCAGATTATAAGAGCTTCCGGATCAATCTTCTGACCTCAATTCGCACGTTTTTGCATTCTATTTTTGAGATGATATCAGTTCTATAAATATATGAGAAAGGCCGGATTTAGATTAGGACTCCCACATAATCGGAAGATCTTCGTGTTGTGAAAGGATTTCAGAAAGGCTTTAGAGAAAATGGTCTCAAACTTCACATTCAGTTGTTTACTTTTTGTGTTTCGGTTCTTTTTCTTTTTTACCCAAAAGACTCTCGTGTGAACAAGAAGAAGAACACTTTGTCAAATAACACATTATTTACTTTATGAGGAATGAAAAACACAAAAGGTTTCGAGAAAGAAAATTATCACAGATTATAAGAAGTAGACAAATCACAGAAGTAGAAAATAATGATATGTTTGAATGAAGAGTGTATACATGACGAATATAAACCTATTTACAAATATATATCTCAACACATTAAACGAATGGCTCCGTGACTCGAGCCTATCAAATAAGAGCAATTGAGTGGGAGGGGCAAAACGGCGGTGGGAGTGCCTGGTAACTCGTCGGGACGGATCTTCGTCTCTATTTGAAGCTCTCCACTGTTTCGATACACTCTGTAATTATTTTCGTTAGCAGGGTGTTAGGGGTTAACTGTCGCATTACCTGAGCATCGAACCATTCTGAAGAGTGACCAGCGAGTTGTCCGTTATAACCGCAGCTGTTACGGGATCTTGAAGTTTTCGGACGATATGCGCGCGGGGATTGGTTTCAAGGATAACACCACATTCGTCGGCATCACATACAAGTAGGCCGGTGTCAGAAAGCCAATTAACCTGGAAGGGAATGAAGCTTTGTTATTCAGTTGTTGTTAAGTCAAAAAAAAAAGGAAAAATTTTAAACTTTATTGCTCAAATAGAAGTCCACGTCTAATTATGTCTAATTTCAATTATCTCGGTTCCTGCAAACGATATTGAAATTCTTCCAACGGATAAAATGTTCTTCGTAAAATTAACAACATTTTATCTGTTGACAAACTTCAGATATAGGAACCGAGATAATTGAGCTTAAAGTGCAAGTGATAAATGAGCTCAAATTGCTAGAGCATGTTGAGCTGTTACGGTAACTTAAACTTTGTAGAAAAATAGCAATTTCTCAATTGATCCCAATTTTTGACTTTGTGATTCCCAATTGCCGACCTAGAACAGTCTTCAATTAACACTACTAAAACAATACTGTTTTTATGATGTGATTTCCCTCTGTCCAATTAAACTGAAACCATCTAATTATGACCCATCCCCGACGATGTTTTATCTCCATATGCCATCTTTCTCCTCAGGAACCATTAAAACAAACGCGAACAACGAAACAAGAAGCGCCCGCTTCTGCCACCACATCAAATGTAAAATTCGGGACTCAGTGATAAACTCAGAAGACGACTAAATATGTTATTCCGACTTCGGAATATGTTATCTCTTAGAAACGATGACAAACCGAGACGGTGTGCGTGGAATTCGTTTGCGCCAAAGCGTTGATCTTCCCGTTTCGCGCATCAAGAATCGCGAGAGTTCCGTTTGAAAGTGCCACTGCCATTTTGTTTCCTGTAAAAATATGAGGAATAGAAATTCAATAAAAAAGTACTCACCATTATCTCTGACTGTCAGTGACCTAGTGAGACCTGGTCCCGGCGACACTTTCAGCTCACACGTCCATCCACCAACTCGACTATCAAACAGTTTCACCGTAGAGTGTAGACTGCAAATCGCCGCGAGAATATGTCTATCCACATTCTCAATTCTCATTATGTTCCCCCCATTTCCTTCTTTCGATGAATCCCATTCTAGTTGTGCCAATAGTGTAGTCCGAAATGGATCCCAAACATGAAGTGAGCCGTCAGTAGAAGCAATTGAGTTATCCGCAAGAATCGCCACGTCATGTACAGATCGATTGTGATTTTGATACGTCCATTGGCACCCGATTTCATCTTGTTCTGGTTTTATGGACCATAACCTGAAAATTAAACATAGTTTTGGGTTAGGTATCTTAAAATCAAATACTTGACTGTCTTATCAGAAGATGCTGATACGAAAGAATTCTCGTTGGAAATCGCTGCAAGTCTTCTGATTCTTTCTTGATGCCCAGTGAAGTTGCAGAGGGAGAGGTGATCAAAACGATAATTGCTACAAAAGGAACTTCCGTAATATAGTGAAAGAAATTAGCATTAACTTACTCTACTCCACAAACAGCCGCAGAAATTCTAGCACACCAGACTGAGCTCAACGATCCGGAATCACAAAGACTAAAGCAAGTCTAGTTATAATAAAGTGGGGGTTACTGTACCTCAATCCTCCTAAACTGTTCACAGAATTAACGGGACTCGATGCAGACAGCGAAAACAGTCGATTTCCAGAAGACATGCCTCCTAGAGAATATGCTGGGAACGTGGATGGTGGTGAGTGTGCGATTGGCATATTCGGCGATGATGAAGCTGCATTCGAAACGAATGGAATGAGGAATGCAGGATCGTCACAAAAAGAAGACAAGAATGGAACTCCCCACTCTCTGGCAAATTTATCAACGACGTCTTCTACCATGAATAGAGGAACTTCATATAGGGTGTTTTCAGGGGATCGTTTTCTGAGAATGATCCTTAGCTCTTCATTCGTATCGTAAATTTCACTGAACGTCGAGAAAATCAATTTGAATGGTTGGCTGGCGTAGATGCGTGTGTTCTCGGTTCCAATTTTCTGGGTAATCGAGTGTAGTAATTGACAGACCTTGCAGATGATGATGTTGCGAACTCTCGTTGTGGAGAACTGGAAACTTGAATTGAGAAGGATCGTGAGCACTCGATAGATCACTTTTTGAATTATGAATTCCTGAACGAAAGTATTGAAGCTATTTAGAGATATTTTATTTAAAATTACCTCTAAATAATTCATGAGTTGATGATCAGACATGGATCGTATTGAGAGTTCAACTATTCGGAAAACGGAAACCAATCCAGGCTCGAGTTGAACTGACGGACGTTTATGGAACTGCTCAATCAGGTCAACACAGAATGGAAGGAATTGAACAGTGATGAATGTGACACTGTAGGTCAGCACGATTTCAGAAAGTAGGGATTCAATTCGAGAGCAAGTTTCGTCGCCTTGAAGAACTACGCCGAACACAACCTGGAAAAAAGTTACCTTGTTTTTTTTATTTCATAAAATGACCTACTTTTGGTACTTGATCCAGTCCTACTAATTCGAACCCCTCGTAACAACTAGCCATGATTCGGAGGACGTTGGATGAGATGAATTTGGCACATATCACAGGACCATAACGTTTTGCCAACCACATGATACTTTCTTTTGCTACCACCGATCGATCAGGATTCAAAGAAGCGCATGCTTCAACGATTGGAGGAAGAAAGAGATCCAAGAAAGTGTGGGTTCCATAACAAATAGACACGTGCATCAGGAAGCGACGATCGAGGAGCTGGAAATATTCGAACTTCCGTAAACTAGATAACTCAAAATCTACCTTCACTGAAGTTTCACATTGTATCAACTCTATCATTGGATTGATCAGATCCTCTAATGCAGATTGACTCAAGCTTCGTGTGATAACTGGCATCAATTTGTGAACTGCTTGAATACAAGCTTCTTCGTCTTCTAATAATTGTCGGAATGCCGCAACGACACATGTTTCCATATGATCGCAAAGACGGATCGACTTTTTAAGGCTGTCCAGCTCTTTGATCAGTAGCAATTGAGCGCGTTTTGCTGGAATAAACCGTTTCAATCGTTTTCAAAACGATGGAACATACAAAAAGGAGGAATCACATCCAATTTTCGCAGCGAGTGCAGTGATACACATTTCGCAAATTCTTCTGAGAAATTTGAAATCTTAGTTGGAATATTCAGGCAGACGCTGACAAAAAATGAAAATTCGTCACAATCCGGAAAGTCTTGTTTTGGATTCAACAGAAAATCGAAAAGTTTTCGATAGTTCACAGGTACCCGATATGAAAATTGACGAAGACAGTGGCGAATATGATCCTGATCATCGAATCTTCCGGCTAAATGAGGAGCGACTACTATCTGAGCAATAACTTCTATTAAGGATACCATAGATGAGAAGTATGTTTTGTGGCGGAGCCTCTATAAAATATATGATAAAATTGGTTAAAACTTCGAAGCTCTCACTCGGATTTCCTTGATTTTTTGAAATATCTGTTGATGACTCTCTTCATCGAATTCTCTCCATTCTGTTGAATCTTTTTCTTGTTTCTCCATTCCATAACCAAACGAATCCATTTGAAGATAATAAGAATCCGATTTCGGATTCTTTAAAATAACTTATTATTTTAACTCTTAAATAGAGACGCTTACATAATTCAATGGCATTCTTGACGGATGTGGTCTCGTAAACAACTGAACCATTCCATTTGTTCTTAATCTACGACGATTTTTCTCTACGAAGCAGAGATGAAGATTCAGAGAATTTTTGCTGTTTTCGATGGAGAGCTGAAACGAATAAATGTTTAAAAAAAAGATTTATTTTCTCACATTAAACCCGAAAACCAGATCGATCCATCTGTGGAGATTCATGGAAACCTCCTCGTGTTCCAGCATTTCACGATGCCATTTTATGAATTCTTGTGGGGAAGACACAAAATCTGGATATTGTAAATCCGACATATCCGCATGACGAGAAGCTGTAAAACGTGCATAATATATCACAATCGTCATCTCAGTGTCTTACTGAAAACTAATGGATCATCATAGAATTCGGGAATACACTCATCTGGCGTCCACTGGAACATTCTACTCATTGTGGATGGATACTCTTCTGGAACCCATTTTCGGCGAACGTGTCGGCAAAGATTCTCTTTCGGCTCCACTCGAGCACGATAAACCATATAGCCAATATCAGAAAGAAGTTCTGGAACATGATGGGATGGCTCTCGAGAATACATTTCTCTCAACTGATCGTCTCCTTTACACAACCGATATTTCGTTCGGTTCAACGGGCGAAATCCAGAATTCTGCGATGAGAAATCACACACCCACGGGAAGATTGGATGATTAGGAACCTCTTGTCTAACTCGTCCAGTTATCCTGTTCAGGTAGGTCAGGTATTGATAGTTATCCCATTTTCGATGCACCCAATTAGAAGTGGCTTCGTCCAGAGAAACATCTGTTCTGAAATCGATTCTAGCTCAGAAAAGAAACGTGGAATTTCAATTACGTATCAGGTTTTGGAACGCCTTCTACTTTATCCAGAATCGGTCCAAGAATATCGTACTGTAGGCAGAGAGATGGTAGGCATCGAAAGTGTTTCGTTTTGAAGGAAGGAGCGATTTGTCTTGAAAACAATTGGGAATAGAGATCCAGAAGATTCTTAGTGAGGAAGTGTATTGTCTGAAAACCAAATTGCCAGATAGAATACGATAAAACCTAATAAAACCTGCAAACTTCCATCTGGAATGTTACTGTAGGAGTGACGAAGAACAGTTTGTAAATCAAATTCCTCTTTCGAATTCCTTCTTTTTCCGTAAATAATGATCACATTCCGAGGACTAGTATGAGCAATCACCAGAATAGGTAGCACATTTGGAAGGACTTGGAGGCGACGGAATATGATTGTGTTGGACGTTTTCTTGAAATTGAAAAAAATTTGTTTTTAAATGTGTTTCTCAGTTCTTACATCAACATAGGAAATTGCTAATTTTCCAGCTACTCGTTTCCAACTGGATAGCCATTGAAATTGTTCTTTTTTCGGAGATGGAATTTCTTCTTTTACTTTTTGGTGTTCTTTATAATCCATCAAAGGATCGAAAGAGTTGTTAAGTCTGAAAAAAGGAATATGGCCTATTATTCTAGTACAAAAAGTCGGAGACGTGGAAGAGAATCATCGGTGGTTGTGGCCGAGGGACCCGAAATGACAACTACCGTAACCTAAAACTGTTTTTTTGTCTGCGTATTTTTTCTCGATTTTTACTGATTGTCACATTTTTTCTGTTAATTTTCTCTTTTTAGAAAATCGAGAAAAAAATCGGAAAATGACAAAAAATTAGGTTATGGTAGTTGTCGTTGTGGGACCTCCGGCCACCGGTAAATAAAAAAACCTACAGTCTCTGAAACTCCTCTTCCACACCATCTTTATCCGAATCGTCTGTGAATGATCTTGTTTTTGCCTCTAATTCAATCGATTCTAGTTTCACATATTTTTGTACATTTTCCGAAAGAATATCAGACAGTAATCGAAGTTTAGATTCATTCCATTCGAACTCCACCTCGGTCATAAGAACCTTGAATGAAGAATTTTCTCGACTTTTCGATGCTTTCTGTGTTTATAACGATGCTGCTATTCGATATTCAAATAAACAGTTTCGAGGAGACGACTCTGTTCTTCTGATGCGTCGCAAAGAAAAATATAAACATAACATTATTTCTAATACAAAAAAAACGATAAAGAAGCAAAAAACAATGAAGAAATAGATCCAACAAAAATTCAATTATCTACTATACAATCCTAATTTACTAATATTCGGTTACAACTCCATACGAATTCCAGTGGGGAGGAAAATGTCGAGCTTCTTTTGAGTGCCACGAATTGTGATTTTTCTATCAGTGAGCTCTGCGTCTTTTGGCGTCGGGTTACTCGAGATATAGAGACGATGGATGTAGGACTGAAAGTAGATCATTAATGAATGAAAATCGATGAATCACTAACTGGCAGTGAAGAAATTTTGAACGAAACCGCGTTGGCTAAAAAATCGGTCTTGTAGAAATCCTTATCAGTACTTCTTCCAACAACATCTTCCGAACACCTCTTCCATCCATCAGATATCACACCAAACCGTCCGTAATCCGTGCCGCCCATCCGGAAACGCAATTGAGAGTAATCCGTCATCTGCTCATTCTCTACCAACAATTCCACTCCCTTCGCCTCGATTTCATGTTTCTCCCCACACTTCTCGTTGATGATTCCAGTGTAATCTTTTTGTGCTGAAAGAATTCACATGCTACAGTATTCCCTATGTGTGCGTAAATTGGCTGTGATTTTCAGACAAAGAAGAAGAAGAAGAAGAAGAAGAAAAATGACTATATTCTCAATTCAAATAATTACCATCATTGTTCTTGTACTTCGGTGTCCCTGTCAACACATGCCACCATCTCCACGTTGGTGCTTGAATGATTGGTTTAGGTCGACACTTCTCACATCCTGAACATGTCTCTTCATATTCCACGTGGCATTCGATAGGACTCGGTGATCGTTTGAGCATCTCCCAAAAATATGCCCATCGTCGTTTGACAATCGAGAAGTACCAAAACTTTTTCCTTGTATCTTCGCACTGTCTGAACCAGCCGGCGCTCACGTCGCCGAGTCCATATTCTGGAGCGACTTGTGATTCTTCGTTCGTCAGCTCGAAGGCGTATACCGATTGCTTCTGATCCTCAATTACCGCCATAGCAGTTTCACACGCGTGGCGAACATCTTCCGACTTTTCGAAAACCGATGGAAGCATTCTTTTCAGCCACAGATTGTCGTATCCACCAGGATAGAAGCCAACTGGGAGTTGAGCTTTTTCTCGATTTCTAAAGATTCCGGTTACAACTTTTCCGATTGTTCCATCGCCTCCAACCACGTATAAAACATCAGCTTCTTGCAGGTCCACTGCTCCAGCCAATGCTTCTAGTTGTGCTTCATTATCTGCCTAAAGTAAATCGAAATTCGAGTAATAATTTTTCTGATTCACCTTCACAACGTCTACTTGTACTCCCGACAACAAGAAAAGAGGTAAAGCATTTTTATTGAAAGCGTCGAAGCAGCTTCTGGAATTGCCTTCGACATTCACTAGAACGAAAACTCGCTTTGGTTTATCATCAGCTGAAATTATTCTGGTTATGAAGAAGCTGTCATTTCGAGTGTGTTCACTGACGAGAAACGGTTTTTTGTCCGTATTTCACAGCGATTTCTGCATAATACTTCCTGATTCTTTGATTCCGATCCCATCTGTATACCCAATCGGCTCCGAGGTATCCGAGGAACGAGAAGAAGATCGTCTTCTTCTTATGCTCGTATAAAACTTTGGGTATTCTGGATATCTTCCCGATTAACTTTGACATATTCTGAATTTTCTTTGAATGCTAGACTTCTTCTTTTTCAATTTTCAAAAAGCGATCCGGCTTTTGGCAACCATTGGTAATGAGCTCACAAAGAAGAGGTTTCTCGAAGAACTTTTATTTTTTCGGGGGTTTTTTTCAAGAGGATGGGCATTCGAATCGCAGCTAAAGCTATATTAAACTAGAAAACAACAAAACGATGGAACATGGGGGTTGTTTCAGATTGAATAAAGGTACACATTATTACAATAATAATTGGGCGCCGGGGGTAATTAATTCTGAGGCAAAAATCTAGGAAAAAAGTAATAAGCAGAAGAGAAAAAAATTAATAACTGAGATGCTTATGGTTCGAGTAGTAGTAGTAGGCAATCGAACGTGTTGGGGGTGAGATTCTAAATAGATTTCAGACAAGAAACATCAAGCAGATTATTTTCTTATGACAACCGATTCTGGATTCTTAAGGCCATAGAAAATCAGATCGACGCAGGTACCAGCATCTTCCAGAGAGTCGTGTCCAACTGCATCTTCGTTATCGCCTTGGATTGCTTTATGGAGTAGCTTTGCAGACAGGTTTTTGAGTGCGACTTTGAAATCACCCGACGATCGGAACAAGATTGCCGTATCAATAACATTGGTGTGCACGATTCGCATCGCTTTCAAATCCGATTCGAGTGAGTGTCCGATTAAAATAGTTTCGGAATTGACAAATTTGAATAGTTTTTGATGACACTGAAACGAAAATAATCACAAATTGCTCACAATCCGGGCGAACTTACTGATGCCATCGTATCCTTCGCGTTATTAATGTCCTCCATTGTCAAGCCAGAAAACTCCGTATTGGGATCAAGAACTTCAGTTGGTGGTTTTATGAAAAGATCCAAAACCATATTCTTATACATATCGACCATAGTCAAACGAGCCAGAGCTGGTCCAGCGACTGTATAAACCATTTCACAATCAAGAGCGTATGCTTTGTTGGATCTGAGATCGTTGGCTGATGTTGGACGAGGAGTAGCGTAGAATGTTCCGAGCTCTTTTTTGAACAATTGATCGAAGACATGAACATCGCTGAACTTGCATCCCGGTGTGCTATTGTATTCCTCGTTGCAGCAAGTGTACCGCTTTTGGAAAGTATCTAAAAATAACAATTGAAATAATAACAATAATCCATTCCGATCTAAAACTCACCTCTCTTTCCGTTTCTGTTAGTTCCTCGATGGTGATATCGGCATATGTCCTTCTCGCGAACCATCGTCCCATCTGGTCTCAGTTTAAACTCTTTTTGACATCTACTGCACGTACGCTTCATATCAAAATCATCCAGGAACATTTTCTTGTTGAGAGTATAGGTTGTTTCCGCAATAGATGCTGTTCTGGAGCCTTCTCTGAACAGAGGATATGCATTTGAATCTAATTCAGCGTTGGTCATTTTGAATGGGATGAGATATGGATGTAGTTGTTCCATTGTCATCGTCCGATGATCGACATGGACTTTTCTTCCTTTAGCGACGAGGCAGTTCTCTTTCGGAGCACCAGACAGGATCTTATCATGAGAGACAGCTGAAAATTACAACGTTATAAACACATTCGAAAGAAGATGGAATCTAGTTTTCACTTGCTTCTTAAAGGAACTCTCAAACTTTGTTGTGGAGTTGGTGGTGAGTTTTGTTGATACATATATTGAGGTGAATAGGACGTTTGAATCGGTGGTGATGGATACGAATTGTTCGGATAAGATGTACTATAATATGGCACCGATTGCACCGGGTTGACATAATAAGGCATAAAGGCTAGCTCCTGATATTGTGGCGCATAGTGATATGAAGATACATAACCGTATTCTGGTGTTAACGGTTGTGGAGCAGCCACGGTCACCATCGGATGGTTATAGTTCCCATAGGGTGGTGACCCCGGGGAATAATACATTACATAGGTCGGTACCCACTATCTGCAAACGGTGCATTTGTAGAGAGGTTCTGAGGAAGGATGAAATGACGATGATGAAAGAGAAAACGAAGAGGAGTGCGCGATGGGTGCGAACAATTTCGAAAAACGCGCCACGGAAGGGGAAGAAAGGATGCACGCAGGAAATTTAGTCCAACTGAAAAAACCAGGTAGAGTGTGAAGTGACTGGTGAAGGCAGTCAATAAACAATAACACATACTGGTGTCTTATCAGTTGTCTCGCCAAGAAATGCATCAAAAAGCATTGGAAAAAAGCAGGCACAAAAAACGAATGGTATGAGAAGAATCGATAAGGAACTATCTATACAACCGATGTATTCGATCACATGGCTTTAGAGTCGCGTGCGAAGTTCATATATGTCCATGGGGTTAAGCGAATGATTTAAATGTGTCAGTTTTTGAAAAGTATTTCTTAAGAAAGAAGAAATCAATTGAAGAAAGCACATGTCGAGAAACGCGTTCAATGCGAAATGGTACGGCTATTGAGCTGTGCGACCCACAAGAATAATGAGAAGAAAAAGAAGAAGACTAGAGGGGGCGCGTCTTGGAGCGGTACTGTATAGATTGGCAGACACAGAGAAAACAGCAAGAGAGTCCGCAGTCCGAAGAGACAGAGGGAGCCGAGTGGGGTGAAGGTGTGCTGACCCATTTATCGACTGTCTAATGGCATGCGCACCTTGCCAAGAACAGATGCATTATCGATTGATGTGTGAGATGAAATCGTTGCCGTCGTTTCACTTCAGATACTAACGGAGTAACAGAACCTAGGAATTCGTGCGAGACACACGCCTTCAGTAGTTTTCTTATGCTTTATTAGATGAGAGAGAAAGTGCGACAACGTTCTAAAACCAAAAAATTTCGAGTGACGCAGTCTGGTATATAAGGGCAGCCGAAAACGATGCGAAAAACGGAAAAGAAAATGTCGCTATTTTGCTGGAGGCAGCATTCAAAGCTGTTGTGATATTGAATGAGAAGAAGAAGACGACAGCCGGTTGCCAAGCGCGAAAAAGGAAAGCACGTAGAAGAGGAGCGACTAGCGAGACATTTTTGACTGACACACATGTGCACGAAAAGACTTTTTTGAAGAGCGCATCTTTAGTACGTAGTCCTTCTGTTTCATTTTCGCTAAATTCTGAATTCACCACCATCTCTGATCAAAAATTGCATCATTAATCTGATACAAAACATCGGAGAAGTGGAAGAGAAAAGCTTGTGGGCGTGGCCAATGGCTCTCGTAACGAAAACTACCGTAATCTAAAAATTTCACTTTTTTTCGATTTACTTTTTTTGCTTTTCGACAGCTTTTGTGTGTGAACCTCAAACAAGTAGAGATGTAGATAAAAGATAATTCGAAGAATTGCCGCGAAACGAACGAAAATAGAGAAAATTATGAAATTAACAATTATTTGTTGATTACGGTAGATCGGCCACGGCCATCGCCACCGGCGTTTCTCTTCCACAGCTCCGATTTTTGCATAAATACCAGCAAATACCGTACATATGAAGAAAGCGGCAAAAAAAGACGAACCATTTTTGTTGACCTCAATAATTCCAGAAGTACTTTCTCTCTGCAATTGCATTCGCCTTGTTGCGCACGAATTTATGTATTTCTTCTCATCATTAGGATTCGCGGTCGCGAGTTCCAGCTCGATCCTTTGCGCTTCGGTGTCTGCGTTTGCTCGTTCTCCGTTTACAAGATCCTTATAGATCTTTTCAATAACTTGTTTCCTAGTATTCAGAAACGCCTGCAATCAATTTTTTATTATAACCAATGGAATTTTTGAATTGAAACTCACTCTTCCCTTCGTTGGATCTAAATATTTCGGTGCTGGTGGCAGCATTGGAGTTTTCTTAACCGGACTTCTAATTTCTTGTTTTATCGTCACTTTTTTCACAGTCGACGACGATGCTAATGACGATGGCGTTGGCGGCAACGGACGAGACACTTTTAACAGTTTTTGAAGTTCTTTGATACGTTGCTCTTCTCCTCCAGTCGGATACTTCTACAATTTGCCGAATACTTGGAATATTTTTGAGCAGACAAGAGTCTATACCTTCGATTTCAACTTTGCATACTCGTCTTGAAGCTTTTTCTTCTTCTCATCAGCTTCTGCATAACGTTTCCCTTCGAGATCAATTTGATTCGGACGATTGCGGTGAGCAGGGTGCGATGACATAGGACGATCTCTTGAAGGTCCTGGCACTGAATTTGCATGCGCCATTCTTTTGGCTGGAACATGCACGCCATCCCCATCATCGTTATCAGAAGACACGGTCGATTGTGCACGTTTCTGAAACCATTCATTTCTGATTCCAATCACTATAGATGATTGTGTTACATTCAGCGGAGCTGGAACATCTTTTCTCTGTTCATTCCTTTCTCGATGGAGGTTGTTGAACTTCTGATCTTTCTGCAAAACTATACTTATTTCATTTTTTAAATCCTTTATCGAGTGGCGTCACAGAAGTCACACAAACTGTTAATGCTTCAAACCACCTCTTTGATAAAATCGAAGAATTGCCAGAAGGGATCATAAAATGACATTTGATTAATGATTTGAGTATATACAAGCAAAATAGAGCAAAACCAAGTCGAACGTTTCGAGGACAATATTGGTTGTGGCACAAATTCACTCCCACCCCGTCAAATCGTTAACATAGTAGCTGATGGCAAGTTAATCAGTAGCACCTCGCGATGCCGAACTGCGTAGTACACGGCGACTTACTAATGCATGAGCCTCACTGAGCCGCGCCTTCCTTTCCAGCTGTTTTCCAAGTCGTCTTTCTTCAGCTTTATGCATCCTTTCTTGTCTTTTTAACATTTTTCGTCGTTCTTCTGACATCGGAGGAGCTGATGGTGGCGGTGTATCTTCTGTGGATCTCCTTCTTCTATCTTCGGTACTCTTCGACTTCCTTACATTTCCTGCTCTTTCCGATGGTTTTGGTGAATGTCTTTTTGCACTTTCTCTAACTGGCGTTCGCCGCTTCGTAGCTTGTTTGCTGCTACGTCTTGATTCCTTTGTCTCCCTCGTATATCTTCTTCTTTCTTCATCAGAACTATCGTCTTCCATTTCAATGAAATCATCTTCCACAACAAAATCTGCCAAGTTCCCCTCTTCGTCGATTTCGTCTACCTCCTCCTCTGAATCCTCATCGTCATCCACAACAAATCTGCTGTCTTCCCAATCTTCTTCTTCTTCTTCTTCCTCTGTGCTCACGGTATGACGGCCATCATCTCTCCATTCCTCGGACTCCTCGGAAGATCTTCGGTTATTTCGCTTCTTTTTCTTTTGGATTAGTGGCATATCGTCGTCAGATTCTTCAAAAGTAACATTTCTCTTTTCTGGTCTACTGTTTTGGTTTTTTGAAGCATCATTTATACGAGAAGGCCCAGCGCTAGTGGATGGTTGAGGATATCCGTGTGATATATCCTCATTGTCATCTGGCTCCACTTCCTCCTCGTCGTCGACTTTCTTTTTTTTCCGTAAAGTAAAAATTTCTTCCGAACCTTCCGATGAAGAACGTGATCTCGCAGCGTTTGAAGTTGCTGGTAAGCTTGTACTGACTATTGCTTCTTGAACAGATTCGCAATCATTTGGCAGCTCTGGGTTATCCTTGATGAGTTTTGCCAGCTCTGGGTTTACCTTCATGAGTTTTGCTAACATTTCCTGCAATTTAATTGTCGCTCTACGATCGATCTCTTGATTGACATCAGGTCCTAGATCAGATGCTTGACCTTCTGTATTAGAGTTCCGAACGACTGCAGTCTGCCTTGCTTCCTCCACAGGTTCTGGTTTGACGGAAACCGCTGAAACTGATGTTGCTGGATTGTTCGACTTTTGATGGGGTTCATTTGTCGATGCTTCTGGCACGGTGTTATCTTTTTCTTGTTTGATGTTGGTATTTCTAATTGGAGAGGCACTCTTACGCTGCGCATCCGACGTTGACGAAACTTCTTCTACAGGTTCTTGCTTGATCCGAACTGGGGGATCGTCGTCCAGCGTTATTATTTCTGGAAGAAAAACGTATTAAATTTCTTTTCTAATTGAACAACTTACCTATACGCTTCTTTTTCGGTGGTTTTTCTCGCACGGGAATAGTCGGCTTAACGTCGACTGTTTCTTCTGGAGAAGCAGTTAGAGGCGGGGATGATGTCGGACTGTAAGCACAAGGTGGAGCCGCATCGTCCGCCGCAATAAAATGCGGGGCGTCAGCCACTATACTTTGTGGATCGCTGTTTGAAAAATCTGCGTTCGAAGTAGGAGGGAGAGATGGTTCCGTTGGTTGAGGATTAGAGGACGATCCCTGTTTCTGTTGCTGGAGATGTATGTGTTGTTGATGTTGCATTTGATGAAGCATCTGATGTTGCTGAAACTGTTGATGCTGTTGAAGTTGCTGCATACGTTGTTGGTGTTGTTGCTGATGATTCTGAATCTGGTGATTCGTCGTTGGTTGTTGTTGTTGTGGCGCTATCCTTTGCTGGTCTAGTAAAAATTGTGGAAAATGAGATGGAGGATTCTGAGACTGCTGAGTAGCTGGAGGCCCTTGTGCCCTTTGTTGCTGTTGCTGTTGGAGCTGTTGTTGCTGGAGCTGTTGTTGCTGGAGCTGTTGCTGCTGTTGATGTTGTAGATTCTGCTGTTGGAGCTGTTGCTGCTGAAGTTGTAGATTCTGATGTTGCTGCTGTTGACGTTGTTGATGCTGCTGTTGGAGCTGCTGTTGCTCCTGGAGTAGCTGATGTTGGCGCTGTTGGAGTTGATGAAACTGTTGTTGTCTATTCCATTGTAGTATCTGCTCCTGAGTCGCTGCTGAATTCATATTCACAGGCTGCACCTGATGCTGATGAGCGTTCGGAGGGACCATCAGGATCCCAGGTGGGGGATGTTGAGGAATCAGGTGTTGATTCGAGCTGCGCAGCTGTGTAGGAACTGCAGATGATGGAGCAGAAAGATTCGCTATATTTGGAATGGGAGGTCGTGGTGGTTGCACATTAGATCCTGGTGGCATAACTCGATTATCCTGTGAAGGTACAACATTTGGAGCTCGAAGCGATTCAGGAACCTGTGGTAGTCTTGTAGACGCGCCTGCAGGTGGTCCCTGTAAACCGGTAGCTGACAACAAATTCCAAAGACTCGGTGGTAGGCGTTCTCGAATCTGGAGGCATGTCCGTTGTGATAGTTGTATTCCGGTGTCCCTGGCGTATTTCACAAAACCATCAATTTTGAACAGGTGATTATTCATGAAAATATCTGTTGAATAACGAGGATGTCCTGCATTGAACACACAAATGTCTGGGTATTCTTGAACTCGTGTTGTTCCTTCTGGTGAAGGAGGCAATATAATTGGCGGTCGTTGAGCATGCTGAGCGGGAAGCGTTGGTTGCAGAGGAGCGTTCACTTGAACCGGAGGCATCGGGAGCCTTGCCATGTTCGCTAGAATTGTTTGAGTTATTACTTGAGCAGGCATTGGAGGAAGCATACGAGGCTCTGGATTTCCTTGTCCTGGATGTTGTGGTCGAACAGGTGTAATCAGATGTTCTTGATTTGGCATCATATGCAAAGCTCGTATATCTATTCGAGCAGCATATTGTTGCGGTTGTTTATTAGTCCGCCTCTGCGAATCAGCCGCAGTAGCAGGATGTCCGGAACCTTGTTGTTGTGGTGCCGCTTGCCTTCGCTGCGACTCCAAATTGCCCACACCGACAGGCGGATTCTGAAGAAGACCACGCGGAATAAGCGACACTGGTTGGTTGTTTAAAGAAATGGGAAGTGAATGGAAGTCCATTAGGTACTGGCACTGTATCCCACTCGCTGACGCAAATCACTTGCTCAGTTTTGCGAACAATATAGGTGCCTTGGCGATTAAATTAGACGATACGTATTGTGAATTAACAGACATAAAAGAGTGAGGATAGTGCATAACCGGAGGACCATTCACATATTAGAAGGGAAAAAAGATAATCCAAAAACGCTTACATTGATGGGAGTCGGTATATAAGGCACACTATTATCGAGATCTCTTCGCATTTCTTCCGTACTGTAGTTCCTTCCTCCACGAACCTGAAAACATTTATATTGCAATGCTTCCATTCAACTAAATTATACTAACCTCTGTTGCTAGAGCGACAGAAGGTCCAGGCTGCGCACTTCGACGGCTAGAGTTGCTGGTAGCACTGGATGAAGCAGACGGTCCCGGTGCTTGATGTTGAAGCTGTGGGGGCTGGATTGGGGCAGGTGCTTGGAATCCAGGTATTCCGGCTATAAAAACTGTTTCAGATAGGAATATAGACATTATACAACTCACCCATAGGATCGACGGGTGCATAATTTTGAATGCTAAAGCCAGGTTGGTTACCGAATCCACCATTGTACATTTTCTACGATGTGAATTAAATAAGAATTATAAAAAGCGGATGGAATAGGTAAAGAAATTGGTATTAAACCACAGTGATATACAAAATTATGGAAGAAAAGAGCAACAACTTTATGAACAAATAACATTAAGACAGAAAACAATCATTTTCTTGCAAAACTCCGATCCATGTACCCGGGAGCGCGTTGAACACCCTTTTTGTTGCTTTGCAATCGTTTCTCCACAGTCATGTCGTCGCAAGCATTACGCATCTGGCTTCTGGAAAAGAGATGAGGAGGCTCAAAGAAACGAGGAATGCTGCGTCTGCTACTCTGGAACGTACCTTATGAACGAAGGAGCGTATCCGTTTTTCTCGGCTTCTTCCTTCTCCTCTTCGTCTTCAACTCGTCCCTTTGCAACATTGCTAGTTCGGACCTCGTCTCTCCATTTCACGTTCGCCTTCATTTCGGCCAATCGAGCAGCCTTTTCTTCGTCAGTCAACACTCTTCTGGGCTCTCGCTTATTCGAAGGATTGTTGGTACCACGTCCTGTTGGAATCTTGATGAGTTTGTACTCTTTGCTCGGTCCTTTCGCTGCGATTTCGCGCTCTTCGGATGTTCGTTTTCTCATCTGCAAAATGAATGATCAAAAGTGCCAAGATATATATTTTCATACCTCTACTAATCCATACGACTTCTTCGAATCGTCTTCTTCACTTCTTCGCCTGCTCCGCCTTTCATGTTCAGACTCAGACTGTGATCCCTGAAAAGCCACATTCCAAAATCAAACTTAAAATCAAAGACCTACAGATGCGTTCTTTTGAAAATGTTCTGGAACATGCGAGTCAAATTGTCTCGACGATTTACTATTGGAAGATGACTGTTTGGCAGGAGATTCGGACCTGGAGTCTGATTTGCGGCGTTCCTTTCTGAAAACATGAAGAAATAAAGAGAATGACAAAACCAAAAGCTTAAAAAATTCTAACCTATCGTCTCGCGATCGCTGTGAAGAGCGATGGCGTGTGTCTGCACTTCTCGATCTCTGCCGTTTCGGGGAATGTTTACGAGCTCTCTCAGCACTTCGAGAACGCGATCTATTTCGTCTCGGAGACCTCGACGCCTTACGAGTTTTTAGAGGGCTTCTGGACCTTGATCTGTTTCGTCTTGGAGATCTTGACATTTTTCGATTTCGTTCAACGCTTCTGGAGCTCGCTCTGTTACTTCTTGATGATCGGTTCATTCTCAAACTTCTCGATCGTGACCGTTTTCTAATTGGAGACGGCGATTCTCGTCGGTCACGCCTTCTTCTTTCATTAGACCTGGACCTCTTTCTTTGATCATCGTTGGAATCTTTTCTTCCGACAGTTTTTGTCTCCTCACTCCTCTCACTGGTTTTCCTTTTCCGTTTAGGAGACGGTGACACTTTTCGTTCCTTTCTCGATCTTTGAGCGTCGTCTTCACTACTAGAACTTGAAGAACTTCTCGATCTCTTCTTGTGTTTTTTCTTCGATTTGTCCTTCTTGCTCTTTTTGTCTTTTTTCTTTCCGCTTTTTGAAGTCATCATACTTTTTAACATGTTCTGGAGTCTGGCCTTCATTAATGGATTATCCATTAGCTCTCGTCTCTTCGTCTCCTCACGGACTCTCACAGCAACAAATGGGTCTTCTGATTTAATGATGTCCTTTTGAAGAAAAGAAGTTTTCAAGCCAGTGGACTGACCGGTATTGAACACTGTTCTGAAAATTACTTGAAGATGCAGTTCTGCCTATTTTCAATTACCTGGTGCTTACAATCGAGTCGATCGCATCCGCCTTCTGAGCATTTACCACATCCGAGTACTTTTCGAAGTTTTTGTCCACCTGAAAAAATAATTTGGAATGAATCAAGTTAATGGGCTACATACTTTCTTTCCCAGCAGGTAATCCTCTCGATGCACGTTTCCTTTTGCACCTTCGTACATCCAATTGATAGATGCATCCTTGCTCATCTGCAAAAAAACAATTAAATTATTTTTATGTTATTCAATTAGGCACAATAAAAAGGAAATTTTAACCGAATCGCCACCGGCGATCACAAAATCGATAAACGTTCACACTGCGAATACAAATTTTACGCAGAAATTTACTCAGCCATGCGTCGCCGGCCACCGGTTTCCTAGGCCAGGAGTGTGGAAAAAGGGCGGAATTTCAAATCTACTTTCCGTTTGTATGGTTTATTGTAAACAAAATTATGGAAATTTAGGGGGAAATAAATTGAAAATTACCATAAACCAATCACATAATTAACACACAACTATTGTTAATTACTGTTAGACAGTTGACGAACAACCTATTGTCGTTGATCACTGAAGAAGAGCCATGATCAAAATGATGAGAAGAGACAATTAAATAGTAATGATATCAGCTTGCCAATCTGAAATTTTCAAATAGGTTTCAGATGATTGAAAAAAAGTTTTGTAGAGAATGCAACTTCTTCATAAGTTGTTTTTCAGTTCTATTTCATACCGAGTGTGATTTTCTTCTCTGGAAAAAGATTGATGTTGGTGTTTAAAAAAAGCATGCTTTATTGTGGCAAGTGATGTTTGTATGCTTTCAGTTTTTATATCACCGCAGCTCTCTCAAAGAAGACATCTTACAGATCGGTATAGTGTGGGTGTTCTTGAGAGACGCAAATGTTTCCTGCATGACAGTTCTCGGAGGACAAAGATCGAAGAAAACAAATGTTATGTTTTGTATTCAAGTCAGTACATAATTCCTTTCAGAATTCAAAAAACAACGATTTGATAGATTGGAAAGAACAAAGAAGATACAGAATAAAGAAGAACAGAAAATTACAAGCTAAACTGGATGCAACGAGTTGGATTCAGATTGGAATAGAGAGATTGGTTTTCAATAAATTCAAATAAATTAATTCTTATTCAAAAAAATAAAATAATGTCAGCTGATAAACTATTCATCATAATATCACCAATTTTTTATCAGTTGATATATTTTTAATCTCTCTTATAGGAACTGAGATAATTGAGCTCAAAGTGGAAGTATGGGAGGCTGGAGCATTTACGTTAAAATGAACGCAACTTCTCCAACTACTATAGCTTTTCTAGATTTAATAGGAGAAAGTGAGAACAATGGATGCGATTGAAAACTTTAATCGTAAGACTTGAGAAATGCAAATTTGAAGCTTGTCGGGTAAAACTATAGAGAGAAAAGATAGAAATCTAGGTTGATTGATCTAGGTTGATTGATAAGAACAGGTTTTAATCTTAAAGTATAACTAGTGAAAAATTTTGAACTTCCACAAGAATGCGAGTTTTCAATAACTAGTCGAATAGAATAAGAGTTCGTGCATACGAAATAGGTTTATTCTCTAAACTCAAGGTCAACATGAGAAGGGCACTCAAAAAAGCAAGAATATGGTGTAACCATGACTTTGAAGTACAGGAGAAAAGGTTATATACTGGCCTGGATAAACGGAACGTGGCCGGGGCTTGAGGAAATGCTGACAAATGATAAGAAATGGATTTAGAGACAATGGAGATCGATGTGTCGAGCTTCTACAGAAGTGGGCGATGGGACGATATCATTGGAATCTGGAATGATTCAGGATTTAGAGACTGTAGTGTGGTTGAAGGATTAGAATCTTGATCTCCTTAAGTCAAAATGTCCCATGAGCAAATGGTATTTCATGACTCTAGGGGCAAAGTTCATTGAGAATGACACGTCATGGCTCTAAGGAATCAGACAACAAACAGTGGAACTGATTACTATGGGGATTCGAGTAATAAGGGACTTTCAGACCCTTACAACATATTGAACAGGAAGCCCTTTTGTGATGATAAATTATATCAGTGAAAGAAATTCAGCGTGTTGTGAGATTCTTGTCAGTTGACCAGATTATTAAAAAGATCAATGATTGATGGATGGTATGATATTCCAATATCTGAACCAGATCATGTTTTAAAAGAGACGGGGCGTTTTTTACAAAAGTGTAGAACATAAAAAGGCGAGTACTACAAAATGGTACTGTTTGGAAAACTGTGTCTTGTCTATTAACAAAGTTACAATTCATCTCAGACAAGAATGAAGTTCCTGCCGGCGCGTTAAGAATATTAAGTTAAGTTATATTAAGTTTAGTTAAGAATATTTACTTAAGTTCCTGCCGCAGGGCAGCGGCAGGACTTCATCCTTGTCTGAGTAGAAGGTCTTTTAATACAGGTTTTACGGCAACTCTTCTGTTGGGATAGCTGTCGAGTAATCAGTTTTTACAGGTACATTAGCATTGATTGTAAACCATATACGAACCCAATCACCAGTAACGCATATGTCGTTCGAGAAACAGATAACCGTGTAGCATCTGTTTCAATTCGGAGAACTGTGATGACATGCTATGTGAGGTTTGGAGTATGGAATAAAAACGAAGAGGAGTTTCTGAAGCTCATGGATTAGTTACAAACAAGGAGATATTTGAATATCAGCAACCGTATTGATGTACGGTAATCAATGATACAAAACTGAAAACTTTTGAACAATCGTTTTTTTTACTTTGAGTTTATGCTAATTGAAAAACTTATACTTAATTGTATACTTAATTTATACTTATTTTTTTTACTTAGTTTTTAATAAATCTTGATACATTACTTTTTGTGTTCTCAAGTCAAGTGGCAATTTGAAGACCCATTTATTCCCGACGTCTTGGAATCTGAACAACACTGAACATCATAAGAATTTCCATTGTGTTGCAAAAAAGTTGCAGCTATGGCCAAGGGAAGCTCGTGGGCGTGGCCAATGATTCTCGAAACAAAAACCGTTTACTACCAAAATCGTCAATTTTGAGCTAAACTATCTCAATTCCTTTGCAGGATATCAAAAGTATGTGAACTGCCGAAACATTTTTGATATTATGATAAACAATTTATTAGTTGACAATTTTTTTATTTTTCACAGGGACCCAGATAAATAGGCTTAAAGTTAAAATTTAAGGGGCGCTACTATTTTACCGGTAGGCGCTACTATTTTACCGGTAAAGGAATTAATTATCTGAAATGGAATTATGAAAATCTCCATGAAATGCTCTTTAATACCATAGGAGAAGACTGCTCTCTCATCACAATAACCAATGAGCTCATTAGTGTCCCATTTCGATTATAATTCATTTTCTAAATCCAAAACTAAACTCTCAATTCAACGTGACTTTACTATTCCCTGAAAACCTGATTTTTTAAAATTCCACTCAAAATAAAAAAAATCTCTACATCCAATCAGTCTAAAAACAACAATTCACCAAGCAGTCAAAACTCGATTCACTCGAAAACATGGAGAACAACCACCGCCCAAGTAGAAAGGTATGTTTTGAATCCGATCATCAAAGATATCTCTGATTTTCTAATATTCAGAAGTATGACGAGGAAGCTCCGATGAGTGAAGATGATACTCTCTACGTCACCGCTCCTGACCAACCAGGTCAAATCACAATCAATCTTGAGAAAGACACGAAGAGAAAAATCACAATCATCAGTGAAGTGGAAGCGCCAAAACGTCCACGTCGTGGATCCGTGGATCTCCGTCGTCAAGCAATCGTCAACAACGCTATCCGCTCTTCTCAATCCACTGCGTCTTCTAGAAGCCGTTCAAGAAGCCGTTCCAGAGGACGTGCTCGTTCGACTCCTCGCAACCGTTCCAGAAGTGCCAGATCTACCACTCGTTCTCGTTCCCGCTCGCTCTCCACTTCCAGAAGATCTCCAAAAAGGGTCTTAAGAGAGAAACTGATTTTTATGGATCAGAAAGAGGTATTGAAATAATTTCTCACTTCAGAAATAACAAATAAAAGTTTGAAAAGTTTCAGAGTGCTCAAGATCCTTTGCTTCCAAAACTTCCGAAGGATGACCAAACCCATTCTCTCCGTCTTCCAACTCATCTTTGCCAACGAAGCATCGTCGGACGAAAAGGGACAGCTCCACCGGAATGCATTCAACTTCCATCTCCTCTCTTCATTCTCACAGAGCAGCAAGTGACCGGTGCCAGTGAGAAGAAGACAGTTCAATTTGTCACCAAAATTCTTCTGACGTCTCACAAGTTGTCACACGATGACAGAAAGAAGTTGTATGCAGAGATGGTTGAAGCTGAATACGTCGGAACATCTCGTTCTTCAAAGGATCTTGTGAAGTCATCAGATGACGAGCCGGATGAAGATTTCCAATTGAAAATTTACTATTCTACCAAAGGAGTCTACATTCATTCCGTGCAGAACGTGATCAAAGTTCGGAAAGGAAAATCGTCCAAAATCACCGAGGAGAAAAGTTATCACAATATCTGTAAGACGAAGATTGTCGGAGATCAAGGGAAATCAATCGAAGGTTTTTTGAATGTTACATGCTCTGAAACGGTTTCAGTCGTCAATCAGAATTATAGCCGTTCTGAGAACTTCAAAATTGGATTGAAGGATTTGAATGTGATTGGGTGAATAATTAGTTTTTGATACTTTTGAAAATACATTTTATTTTCAGAAACTGCACCGTCAACGCAATCAAGGCCACTTTCGACCCAACAAAAACATCTGGTTTCAAGGAAGTCATCAAGTTTGATAACAAGAATATCGGGTACGGGATTCGAAGAAATAACACCAAAATTTTCATATTATTGAAAATTACAGACTGGATATCTTCCACACCAGTACGGCAGCAATGCAAACAATGTGGGATCATGAGGTTGGATCATTTGGAGAAGAGCAATCGGAATACCGAGAGGTTCGATTCGTTTTCGATGATGAGAAGGAGAAGCAGAAGAACGAACAACCTGGAGCTCAAGTTTCCCAAATCATTCAGAATCCGAAACCTTCTGGAAGTGATTCTAAATCTTCTTCTGTTTCTTCCGGAAATTCTTCCGAAAGCTCCTCCGCAAACAATTCATCAGCCAGTTCCAGAAGATCTCGTTCCAGAGCCAAGAGGCATAAGGCAATTCAGAAGGCGTTGGCCAAAAAGTCTTCGGCAACCTCAAAAAGCCCGGATAGACAATCTTCTAAGAAACTAACAAGTCCAGATGAAGAGCCCATCAAATCGAAAGATTTCACTTTCAACCACTCGTCGTTTTATCACTCGTTCCCAGAGGCTACTTCCACTCCAAAAAGTCCATCGGCCCCTTTGAATTCGTCTACCATTCTCGATTCAAAAGGCAAATCACCCCAAGTGACACCTGAGAAGAATCGTCGTGGACCTGATGTTCCCTCCACAAAAGAGGAAAAACACAGTGACACTGAAGTTGACTTGGATAAGAGCTTGACATCAAAGAAGTCATCATCAGCTTCTAGAAACTTGGCGTTGATGATTGAATTGAAGAAGAAAGAAGAGGCAAGACAGCAAGACGCTGCTAGCTCATTGATCAGTGCAAAACCGCCAACATCCCCCGGTAACTCCTCAGTCTATTTGTATCCGACGACTGGATCTGCCAACTCGACCTACATGGCTGCAAAAGATTCCACGTCACCACAAGGAATTCGTCGTGTTAAGGAGACAAAAGTGACTAGAGAGGTACGGGAAGAAGATGGGAAACCAGCTGAAATCAATGAAAAAAAGGAAGAGACGGTGAAAGAGGAGAAGGTGAAACTGGGAAAGAGATCAAGATCTGTGTCGCCGGCGACTCCGAAAATGAAGAGACCACTGAACAATCAGAGTTTGGTTACATTGAGTGCAGGTGAATTTATTCAAAACCTCTAATTTTTTATAATTTGAATATTTCAGTAAAGGAAACCCATCAAACACTGGAAATGACCCCAATCAAAGTGTCCGAAGACTCTGCTCCTGTCCAATCTACATCCATCAATTCTGGCCAACGTGCATTCAAGGAAGAGGTTCAATTGACCATGTTGATTGATAAGAAACGTCTTCATCTGAATGTCAATTTCATTTTGTTGGCTGAAAAACAGCCAGAAGTCGAGATCACTGGATTCTGTTTCAAGGGACAGAAGCTGTGGGAGAAGAGTTCGGAATGGAATCTTTCAAGTGCTAACACTACTAGTCATGTTTGTTTTTTGCTTAATTTAAACAATTAGAATATAATTTTCAGACTAAAACAGTTGCTCGTCAAGCCAGTGATATTTTGGGAGACGGCAAGTGAGAAGAGAAAAAGTAGATGATCTACTCGGGTTGAGATAACTAACAGGCCAAGAGAAGCCATGAAATAAATGATTGATTTTTGAAATTTTTGTTTTGCTGTTGTGTTTGAAAATGAGAAGGATTACTCTAGGGGAAAACATTCTAAAATGAGAAGAATTACTGTAGGAAGAAATATTCGAAAATAAGAGGGATTACTGTAGAGGGAAAATATTTGAATAACGAGAAGGATTACTGCAATTGAAAATTTTCGAAAATGTGGAATTACTGTAGGGGGAAATATTCGAAAATGTGAAGGATTACTGTAGGGGAAAATGTTCGAAAATAAGAAGGATTACTGTAGAGGGAAAATATTTTAAATTGACAAAGATTACTGTAGGGGAAACATTCGAAAATGAGGAGGATTACTGTAGGGGAAAATTGCTGAAAATGTGGAGGATTACTGTAGGTGACAACTTTCGAAAACGAGAAGGATTACTGTAGGGGAAAACATTCGAAAATAAGAAGGATTAATGTAGAGAAAAAAGATTTTAGGGAAAATAATTGAATACAATATTCCAAAAAGATGAACAAGTCAGTTAAGTTAACATAATCAAAAAATGTTTGACATAAATCTTCATTGAGAATCAAAAAAAAGAACTAAAAGAAAGGTCGCGTTCTTAACTTCTACTTCTTGGTATCAGCTTGCTCGGCGATCTTCTTCAGCTCATCCGGAGTCATATCAGCACAGTTCTCGTACCCATCGTCTTCCTGAAAGTTTTAAATTTTTCTCTCAAATCATTATTCTCCAACTCCTACTCCATCCTTCTTCTCGTCTCCATCTTTCTTCGACTTCTGCGACTTTTTGGATTTCTTATTTGACTTTTTGGACTTGTCTTTTGGTTTTTCCTCTTTCTTTGATTCTTCTTTTGGTTTTTCAGCTGGTTTCTCAGCCGGTGGTGCCGGAGCTTCTTCCTTTTTCGGAGTCTCCGGTTCGGCTGGTTTCGGTGGCTCAGGAATCTCTTGTTGAACAGATTTCGCTGGAGCTGAGCTCTCTTGACTCTTTTTGCTCATTTCCTTGCTCGTCTTTGCCTTCTTCTTGCTGCATCCAGACATCAGAATGACAACGAAGAAAATGAAAAAATTGAAGAAATGGAGCAGATGAAAGATGACATAGTTTGATGGCGAAGAAGAGGCTTCCAACTGAAAGTATTAATTTAAAGGAGAATTCGCTGAAGTTCCAAAAACCCACTTTCATTCTGAAATCGTCTTCAATTCAGCTGAGCTTCTTGATGCGATTTTGTTATGATTCGTTGGGAATGAATGTATTTCCCGATGGGGAAGTAATAATAACTTTTTTTTTCTTTGCGTTATCAGATTTTCGTTTAAAAAATTTTGTTAGGATGGAATTAGCTTACACGGAATGAGACACGTGAAAAACTACAGTAATCATCTACCGTAATCTGTAAATTCTAGATCATATGAATTCCGAAAACATCGAAATTTGAAAGTATATCTTATCTCAATGATTGCGGCAACAATTTTTGATTCATTGATATGAAACATGACTAAAATAAATACCGTAAAACCAGTATCAGAAAGGCCTCTTAACTCTCAAATTTGAGCCAATTTATCTCGGTTAATGTTTAAGAAAGTTGACAACGGATAATATGTTTATCATAACATCACAAACATTTTATCAGTTGACAACTTTTTGTTTCTTTGACAGGAACTGAGACTAATTGAAGTTGAAAGCTAGGGGCTCTTCTATTAGAGAACTCGTATTTCTACACCAGGATGCAAAAGGGTTTTCGGCAATTATTTTTGATTTATTGATATGAAAAACGACTGAAATATTTTTCTGGCTCAAAAAATTGGAGCTGCTTATGGGATAAGCTTCTGGACGTTGTCAACGGATCCCGTAACAAAAACCAACCTAAAATTATGTTAAATTTTTTCACACGCAAGTCGGAAAAAATAAAATTTCGATAGTGAAAAAAAACTGACTGAAAACGGACGAAAATACAAATGGTACGTGCTGAAAATGAACATATTGTTTGGTTACTGTAGTTGTCGTTGGGAGATCTTTGACCACGACCACCGGCGTTTCTCTTCGCTAGCTCCAATTTCTTGTACCAGAATAACAAATTTTGCCATTTCTAACCAACAAATCTTTCTGTTAAACCTATTTTTCTGGGTTAAAAGAACCTCAAAAATCAATCAGATAACCTGCTAAACCTGGCGGTTTGTTTGCGGTTCCTCTAGAAGATGCAATTTCACGATTGAAAAACGGAAAACTTGACCACACCACCACCAAAAATCGTTTCCGTTCTCTTCAGAAAATTTAACGAAGTCTTCTTGTGTCTTCTCCTAAAAATCAATTCTTTCTCATTCATTTTTTCTGTGTTGTCAAAAACAGTTTCATTGGTTGTTGTCTCGCCTATCAAAAAAAAAGAAGCTGCAATCACAAAGCAAAACTCGTTTCGCGGTCCCCCTCCATTTCATTTTTTTTCTCACTTGTTAACAATGACACCCTCTGGTTGACCATGTCATCACTCACTTTCTTTTTTGTTTCAATTTAATCATTTTTTAGATGAGGGTCGACGACGCATAAACCCATTTCTCTGATTATTAGCTAAAGTAATTGTAGCCCTTTTTTAATTTTCCGTGTCTTCCATTTATTCTTTATCGACCCAAATTGAAACAACTTTAAAGTGGTATAGGGACAGTGTAAAACCGTTAAATTGTTGGATGCGTTTAGATGGAAAATGGAAGGATACACAAGAAAAAAGGTTTTTTCTCGGTTTTGTTAGATTCTGATCACTTGCCCTTGAACTATCCAAATTGCCTTTTTCTTTGTGGAGCAGTTTTTACTATTACCGTAAAACATGTAATAGAAATGCTCCCACACTGTTAAGTTTGAGCTTCATTATCCCGGTTCCTGTTGAAGATATCAAACAGTTGTCAACTGATAAATTGATCATTATAATAACACATACATATGATCAGTTGACAGATTTTTGATATATTTCATAGGAATCGAGATAATTAAGCTCAAACTTGACAGTGTGGGAGCCTTTCTATTAAAGATTACCAAGATTCCAAAATTTTCTGAGATTCTGAGATTCTGAGACTATGAGATTCGGAAACTCAGAAATTTAGAAATTCTGAATGTGTGAAAATCTGAAAATTGAAAAATTGCAAAAACCATTTAATTTTGTACAGTAATCCAAATCGAACCTTTCCCCATTTTTTTCCGATTTGCCAAACTTGCAATGCTCTTTCCATAAAAATTGTCAGTACCAGAATGATAGAAAAATTATTTGTTTTCAATTTTTAAAAATCAATTTTTCAGAAACCAATGATTTTTTTTCACAATTCCAAACTGCCTAATTCTTGACCATCATCTATAGAAATGTATTCATCAGACTCTCTGACTAATCAGTATATGACTCCACCCAAAAAAAATCTTTTCTTATTCTAACACGATGACAATAAAATCAAAACAACAACCCCAATAATCTCAAAATCATCAATTTCAGTGATCTCATCCCCCACATTTTCTAAATTATCTTACTTAGCCAACACAAAATAAATTGTAGGCAGATGGTTGTTAGGATGACATTCCTCAAAAAAATGATTCGATTATTGGAAATGTTTCAAGTGTTTTTCAAAGTGCACTTCCCCGTTCCAGGATTTCTAGTTACCTATAAAAGTCCTCTTCAGAATGCCATTTTCGTCTTTTTTCCTCTTGAACAATCTTCGAATTATCTCCTTTTTTCTTCCACCTGGTTTCCATGTGACTACTCCAAAACCGTTTTCTCTAAAATCATTGAGATCAAGTTCCAAAAAAAAAAAGAAAAACATTCCCAAATAAATGTACTTGGAAATATGATGGATTGTAGAAGAATATTTTGACACAGAGAAGAAAAGAAAAAGATAATGTACCGCGCAAAAAAGACCTAGTCGGTCGTTTTGATGATGATAAAAGTTTTTGAGAAGACCACACACAACTGAATTGAATGAAATTGAAGAATCGGATATTTTGAAATTGAGAGAAAAGAAGAGATAATATATCTTCTAGGTAATCACTTCGTTTCTCTCTACGTGAATCACTGTCAAGTTTCCTTTTTCTCGTTTTATCGGTCCAACCTTTTTTGATCGATAGGATGTCTCCATTTCCTGTGTAGTTTTGTAGAGTACTTAAGATAACCTCTTGAGCGAAAAAATGACATTGATATTTTGGAAACAATTTTTTTTCTTTTCTTTTTAAAATCTATATCTGTAAAAAACGAAACTTGCGGTTTGAGATATTCGCTCAAAGGTTATCTTAAGTACTAAAGTTTCGAATGTTCTTTTTTAATTTCCTACTTTAACTTCCAAAACCCAACACAAAAAGTGAAAACCTAAACTTGGATTTTGTCTGAAAATCTGAAATTTTGAAGTTCAGAAGTTCCGAAGTTCCGAGATTCCGAGCTTTTGATATTCCGAGATTCCGAAATTTCGATATTCCGAGATTCCGAACTTTTGATATTCCGAGATTCCGAACTTTTGAAATCCAGAGATTCAGAGATTCAGAGAATTTGAGAATCCGAACTTTTGAAATCCAGAGGTTCAAAGATTCTGAGATTCTGAGGTTCAAAGATTCTGAGATTCTGAGATTCTGAGATTCTGAGATTCTGAGATTCTGAGATTCTGAGATTCTGAGATTCTGAGATTCTGAGATTCTGAGATTCTGAGATTCTGAGATTCTGAGATTCTGAGATTCTGAGATTCTGAGATTCTGAGATTCTGAGATTCTGAGATCCCGAGATTCTGAGATTCTGAGATTCTGAGATCCCGAGATTCTGAGATTCTGAGATTCTGAGATTCTGAGATTCTGAGATTCTGAGATTCTGAGATTCTGAGATTCTGATATTCTGAGATTCTGAGATTCTGAGATTCTGAGATTCTGAGATTCTGAGATTCTGAGATTCTGAGATTCTGAGATTCTGAGGTTCTGAGATTCTGAGATTCTGAGATTCTGAGATTCTGAGATTCTGAGATTCTGAGATTCTGAGATTCTGAGATTCTGAGATTCTGAGATTCCGAAGTTCCGAGATTCCGAGCTTTTGATATTCGAGATTCCGAAATTTCGATATTCCGAGATTCCGAGCTTTTGATATTCCGAGATTCCGAAATTTCGATATTCCGAGATTCCGAACTTTTGATATTCCGAGATTCCGAACTTTTGAAATCCAGAGATTCAGAGATTCAGAGAATTTGAGAATCCGAACTTTTGAAATCCAGAGGTTCAAAGATTCTGAGATTCTGCGGTTCAAAGATTCTGAGATTCTGAGATTCTGAGATTCTGAGATTCTGAGATTCTGAGATTCTGAGATTCTGAGATTCTGAGATTCTGAGATTCTGAGATTCTGAGATTCTGAGATTCTGAGATTCTGAGATTCTGAGATTCTGAGATTCCGAAGTTCCGAGATTCCGAGCTTTTGATATTCCGAGATTCCGAAATTTCGATATTCCGAGATTCCGAGATTCTGAGAATCGCAGATTCTGAGCCTCTGAGATCCTGAGCTTCAGAGATTCCGAGATTCTGAGATTCGGCGACTCTGCGACCCTGAGCTTCCGAGATTCTGAGATTCGGAGATTCTGAGATTCTGAGATTCTGAGATTCTGAGATTCTGAGATTCTGAGATTCTGAGATCCCGAGATTCTGAGATTCTGAGATTCTGAGCTCCCGAGATTCTGAGATTCTGAGATTCTGAGATTCTGAGATTCTGAGATTCTGAGATTCTGAGATTCTGAGACTCTGATATTCTGAGATTCCTGAGATTCTGACATTCTGAGATTCTGAGATTCTGACATTCTGAGATTCTGAGATTCAGAGATTCAGAGATTCCGAGATTCTGAGATTCTGAGATTCTGAGATCCTGAGATTCTGAGATTCTGAGGCTCTGAGATTCTGAGATTCTGAGATTCTGAGATTCTGAGATTCTGAGATTCTGAGATTCTGAGATTCTGAGATTCTGAGATTCTGAGCTTCCCAGATTCTGAGATTGTGCGATTCTGAGATTCTGAGATTCTGAGATTCTGAGATTCAGAGATTCAGAGATTCAGAGATTCTGAGATTCTGGGATTCTCAGATTCTGCGATTCTGAGATTCTGAGATTCTGAGATTCTGAGATTCTGAGATTCTGAGATTCTGAGATTCTGAGATTCTGAGATTCTGAGATTCTGAGATTCTGAGATTCTGAGATTCTGAGATTCTGAGATTCTCAGATTCCGAGATCCTGAGATTCTGCGATTCTGAGATTCTGAGCATTCCTGAGCGTTCCGAGATCCTGCGATTCTGAGATTGTGAGATTCTGAGATTCTGAGATTCTGAGATTCTGAGATTCTCAGATTCTGAGATTCTGAGATTCTGAGATTCTGAGGTTCTGAGATTCTGAGATTCTGAGATTCTGAGATTCCGAAATTTCGATATTCCGAGATTCCGAGCTTCTGATATTCCGAGATTCCGAGCTTCTGAAATCCAGAGATTCAGAGATTCAGAGAATCTGAGAATCCGAGCTTCTGAGATCCAGAGATTCAGAGATTCTGAGATTCTGAGGTTCAGAGATTCTGAGATTCTGAGATTCTGAGATTCTGAGATTCTGAGATTCTGAGGTTCTGAGATTCTGAGATTCTGAGATTCCGAAGTTCCGAGATTCCGAACTTCTGATATTCCGAGATTCCGAATTTTGAAATCCAGAGATTCAGAGATTCAGAGAATCTGAGAATCCGAGCTTCTGAAATCCAGAGGTTCAAAGATTCTGAGATTCTGAGGTTCAAAGATTCTGAGATTCTGAGATTCTGAGATTCTGAGGTTCTGAGATTCTGAGATTCTGAGATTCTGAGATTCTGAGATTCTGAGATTCTGAGATTCTGAGATTCTGAGATTCTGAGATTCTGAGATTCTGAGATTCTGAGATTCTGAGATTCTGAGATTCTGAGATTCTGAGATTCTGAGATTCTGAGATTCTGAGATTCTGAGATTCCGAAATTTCGATATTCCGAGATTCCGAACTTTTGATATTCCGAGATTCCGAACTTTTGAAATCCAGAGATTCAGAGATTCAGAGAATTTGAGAATCCGAACTTTTGAAATCCAGAGGTTCAAAGATTCTGAGATTCTGAGATTCTGAGATTCTGACTTTTGAGATTCCGAGATTCCGAACTTTTGATATTCCCAGATTCCGAACTTTTGAAATCCAGAGATTCTGAGATTCTGAGATTCTGAGATTCTGAGATTCTGAGGTTCAGAGATTCTGAGATTCTGAGATTCTGAGATTCTGAGATTCTGAGATTCTGAGATTCTGAGATTCTGAGATTCTGAGATTCTGAGATTCTGAGATTCTGAGATTCTGAGATTCTGAGATTCTGAGATTCTGAGATTCTGAGATTCTGAGATTCTGAGATTCTGAGATTCTGAGATTCTGAGATTCTGAGATTCTGAGATTCTGAGATTCTGAGATTCCGAAATTTCGATATTCCGAGATTCTGAGATTCCGAAGTTCCGAGATTCCGAGCTTTTATATTCCGAGATTC